CGATTTCACGTTTCACATTTTCGTTTTCATGACATAAATTTTTGAGTTATTTCTCGTGAATTCCTTCTGATAAGGTCCCAGTATGTTTTCCACATAGAGTATCAGTTGTATATTATTCAGAGTTTTTCAGTTTTTCGACATTATACCTTGTTATCTTTGTTTCTACCTTTTCTTTTCTTGCATTAGATATTCTAGCTACGAATATTCATGGATGAGGCAAAGTTTACAAGTCTGGTTCCGTTATGATTATACTCTTTGTATAAACTATATGGTCTACTTTTACATTATTTGTGCTCCCTTTTAATGTTATAGGTACTGGGGTTCTTTAGAGCAAATTTTGGAACTATGGTTTTAACAATTTGATATTCTATATAAATTTCTGTTATGCACAACATTGGTCTGAGAGCAACGCCAGCTTCTTGCAACAATACCGCGACAAGTATTCCTTGCATTAGTCACTTTGATCCCATCTCTTGTTTTAGAGTAGATCTTAGAAAATTACTGCGCGTTTTTAAATTCCATACTATATTTTTCTTAGAATATTATAACAATATTCGAGATCTTCAATAATATTCATATTTAACAAGCTCATCTTGTACAAATTGAATATAGTGGTTGCACAAGTGCCCTCTCTTGAAATCTATTAATACTAATTTTTTACACTAATTTACACTTTTTATAAAGTAACAAATTTAATAATATTTTTTTAATGTGTATTTCATAAGGTAATACAAGAGAACAATTCGTGACATTTCTTCCCCATCCTGGTGTTCGGTAAATTCGAGAATTTCAATTTGGTCTTTGTGATACAATCTCGAGAACGACCTAAGATATACTGCTTCCTCCAGTTCGGGATCGATATTTATATCATCTATTCGAAGGATGTATTTCCATGCGAAGGTTTTTTTGTGTTCCGATTCTATTTCTCTGAAGTAATTTGAATTTTAACGTTCCTTTCTGTACTTGCGATCGTTATTCCTACAATTATCTTCTACGTTTTGTTTCTGTTTTTATTTTCACCGACCGTGTTTTGAGCGAGAAATGAAACATTAAAAAGCAGTTAACGATTTGAAACTTTTCCATATTGATATACAATAATTAAGAATTTTTACGGCTTTGATGATTAATGACTTGGAGAAATATTGAATGAGTTGGGAAAAATCTCGAGTCTACTGCTCTTGGTTAAAAAAAATTGGATTGGTGCCAAAAACTCGTGACATTTTAACCAGAAGGTGCTTGTAACTTTGCCCCTTCTGAACTATTTAGTACAATTTTCGATTTGATTAAAAACCCCATCAAAATTTAATCGACTGTTTTTAACTTTTTAAATTTTTTCTTCAGTCTTATCAAATACCAAAAAAAGGAAAGTTTTGTCCCTTAATATATTTAGGAAGGATTTTGCATTCGACAACTCCCAGATTTGAACCCGACAAACTTTGCGAAAACTTTGAATTGCTTTGAAACTGAACACGCCGGGGATAAATCCGCTTTTAGTTCCGCGAGTTTCTGATGTTGTATTCGCAAAAAGTTTCTCCACGTTAAGAGATCATCTCAGTGGGTCACCTAGCGGCTGATTCGGGTTTTAGATTTGTTCGAGAGTTATTAATTTGTTTGAATGAATCGAAGAGTTTGTCGCGGATCTCAATTTATCCTTTCGTCACAAATAAGATTACAAAAACTCTTCTTCAATCTTGGTCGTTAATTGGATTTTAACGTTACGTGAAACCATAGTAATCACATTTAGATCAGAAAATTTGTGTTATTTGTACTAATCTTGTATTGACATTAGGTAAAGTTTATTTTATATTCCAGTACTGCAATTGCTACACATTTATGGATATTGTCCTCTAAAAAATCCATATAATAGGGTTGGCGTAGCTTTTGTAATATAATCTACGGTCATAATCGGTATTTTGTTTTGTAGCACATGCGACTAACCGGGAGATTAGTATTAAACTCTATTTAACGTTAATACCACGGCTTTATGTCGTACACAAATTCCAACATGTTTAAATGACAGATTTTTAATTTCATTTTTACTTTAGTATATTTTCAGAATGCGCAATCATTAATTTTTTAGGTTGAGGTTTTATATAATATATATAAGTAAGCACCTGCTTAGACGTAAATTTCTAATATTTTGCATAGCACCTTGAACTACGCTTTCGCCAAAGATTTTGAACATTTTTTGTATTCAAAAGTATTTCAAAAATTATCAAAGTGATTATTGAAACTTTGCACATGTGTTGCGCAGAGACAAAAAAATCGTTTTAATGCTAAAAGACGCGGAGTTAAAGGATTACATCCTTTATGCCGTCTTAAATCTGCACAACGTTGAATGCTTTTTTCATTGTTAGGAGTTACAACGATATCTAAGATGTCGTTATTAATTATACATATAACAAATTCCACGCTTCCAAAGGACTTGAAATATTTTTAAATGCACGTTCAGGTTCACCTAATGTTTAGATTTCTGTATCGCTTTTTATTTCCTAGATTTTGTTGATTAGATTTTCTTCTGCAAACTCGTCAACTTCTTCTTTTATTGATACGTCTAGGATTTCCTCATCGTATTCAGTGATCTTCCATCTTCAGGCTCTGTTTCAAAATGGCAAAAACGACATTTACTTGATTTGATAAGAAATGCAAGAAATCGTATTCAAATAGATATTTGCGAAAACTTTAAACCAATATTGTTTTAATATTGCTTTAACTGTTGGATGCTCAAAACAGAAAAAGTGACCATTTTGGCGTTTATGTCGTTTTGGGTTGAGAGCGACGATATGTTTCTGTCACTAATTACGTAGAGTTTTGATGATTTAATTTATTTATCACTTTTTGTATTCATGGTTTTGGCGTTGTTTCCTTATTTTCGTCAATCTTCGTTTTAATATCTGATAATTCTTGAAGTTGTTCGTAATGTTCTGCTAATTCTTCTGCATATCTCGGCATCTATATATCAATAAGTATTCTCTTCCACCTTGCAATTGCTGTGGCCACTGCTTTTCTCTTCTAGATGTTCTGCACATAAATAAGTCTCCAGACTTGGGTTGCTTTTTGATCCCGTCGATTGTTTGATCCCAACTTTTTTTATTTTCCTGATTCATTTCTCTTGCCTTCTATGTTTTTTCTTTTTATCTTCAGTTACTATTTTACTGTTTTACTGTGTGATTTTCTTTGCTTGTCTTCGTGTTAATTGTAGTTTTTTAGGTTTTGTTATATATTCGCCTGAATAATATAGAAAGAAAATATCAAATGGAATTGATTCATTTGGCATTAATATATGGTAAAATGAAGTTGCAGATACTCCATTCGGTATGTTTTATAAATTTTCTCAGTTTCCTACAAAGCAAAGAACGTTTGAAACTCACTTTGCATTGCAAATCTGGAAGTTTATAGCTTCACGATTAACTTCGTTTGATATCATGCTTTAATCGTAATAGCTTAATTAGAAATTTAGAAAAAAATTCAGAAAATTTTAAATTGTGAAAAACGTGATTGTTACGCAACAAAGTCTTGTTATATTTGCATAACGTTTACCTAGAAAATCCGCAACGGACGAGGGTGGTTCTGTGTTTAAAGCTGAGGGACCCAGAAATGTTATCCTTTAACTTCGGGATATCCCCTTTTGGACGTTCGCGGTGTCCTTTCGCCTCGGGTATTACGCCACAGTCTTCTTTTAACAATGTAGATTTATTTTTCTTAATTCTTACTGCGGAAAATCTTTTTCTTGGGTATTTTGTATTTTTACAAAAATCTATTATTTAAATTTACTTCAATTTTTTATTTAATTTAGTCTTTCAGACATTCTTTATTTCGTTGAATACTTTTGTGTATGGCTTTTTAATGATATATCTTTATCTGTCTATTTTTGGTAGCATCCCTTTTATGGTCTCATTTAAATTTCAGTCGCGTAAAGGCTACGGTAGAATTTTTTATGTAACAGATGTTCTCCAAAACAAAATTACTTTGGCAACATTTCTTTGGTTTCCTTTTGTGGTGCACACATGTACCATTTTCTTTATGACACAACTACGTAATGTATCCTTTGAAGATATTTGGATTTAAAATTGTTTTCTTGTAAATAAAAATACATAATGAAATTAAAATAAGCAAAATTATCTAAAATAAAGCAGAAAAGAATGCATCGGCCGGGAATCGAACCCGGATCGCCCGCGTGGCAGGCGAGCATTCTACCATTGAACCACCGATGCTGTTGAGAAACGATTTATCTTTCCAAGTTTAGTTGAGAATATTTTAATGTTATCAACATTCTTTAAGATACCTTACATTCTTTTATCTCATATCTGATAAGTTTAATATACCTACTTAGAAAAAATAAAACGTCGATGAGAAATAAAAACCGTGTAGAAAATCTGCTCGGAGCAACCGTCAGATGTAGCTGAAAGTTAACAGACACATCGGAAATTGTTCGATCCAAATACCCCGTGAACGTCTTCCGCTCCCATTTTCCAATATCTTCGATGTCCCACCGAGATATGATTTATTGAAATTTAACCGTTCAATTAAATTGAATTGTTTTCTCTTCGAAAATCGAAATCACCAACCCTAACCCAAATCTAATAACTCATTTACTCCTCTTTTAAATCATTTCCGTCTCTGATTTATTATTCACATCATCAACTTCATCATCAGGCTTAAATACTCATTATATTTTTGTCGCCTGCGTTTGCGGTTATTTAATTAAAATGATTAATTATGGTCGGGGTTCGTTAAAGAGTGGTGGTAAAAAGAAATATTTATTGTGTTCTTATTGATTTTAACATTTTCTGACTTATATTTGCAAACGAGGCGGTGAAATGCAAACTGAATTAGATGACCATTATCGTCTGTTTGCTAAAAATAACGAATCTCGCAACTTTAACGATGACTTTTCAACACAATTTAATTCTTTTATATCTTTTTGATACTTTAAGGAGTTTTTAAAGAAGAAAATTTTTATTCGTCCAATTATAATTGTCGTTATCTATTGGTTGCAGATATCTTCTTTAGTTGAAGCTCATGGTAGCGTGGGAGCATTGCGGTCGTCGGCGGTTGCAAGAGTTGGTCAAGCAGTTAATGTCGCCGTTGAACGATTCGTCACAGTTGGAGAAACTATTGCCGATGACTACAGTGAAGTCCGCGAGGGAATGTATGAAGCCTGTAAAGAGGCGAGACAAGCCGGTAAGCCCCGAGTGATAAATGATGTCTTTATTAATGCCGACGTAATTCACTGTAACGTCCAAACTCTAAATCGTTCCAACTGAAATATGGAGTGCAATTTTAAAATTATTATTTAGGAAAGTGCAGTGTAGAAAACTTAAAGTTACATAAACAAAACCATACATTTTATTTAATGTCTTTATTTAGAAACGTTCCGCTTTCATAGAGTCCAAATGTGAAGCCATATACATTTCAATGCAAGCTTTTAACCCAATTGATTTTATGTTAATTTTGGATTTGTTTATGCAATTAAACAAAATAACTTGGAAAGTAGAAAATATTTAACCTTTTTTTTGGGGTTTCTTCCTACAAAAAGATTAATGATAAAAATTACTGATCCTCGCATAACAGAGATTAATATCTCTTCAATTCATTTACCAGATCATTCATCTCTTGTATTCTGCTATTCGCTCACGAAAATTGATTGATAGATTTTTTTCCTAAAAGCTATTATGAAACGAAAAAAAAACTATTAATCAAGAAAAAATATAAATCTTTATTCTCCCATAACTGAATCTAGTAAAACTAAGATGTAAAAAATGTATCGAAAGTCTTAGGTTTATTAATGAATGACTTAATAGTAAGAAATCACCAGTTTAATATCCTTTGTACATATCACATATAAGCTTGCAACTACATCGCGGGAACTTAATCATTCATCTAACCATGTAATGCTCTGATTTCGATTTTAGATGTCACTTTGCCGTTTAGGGAAACGCTTCTCAAAGCACGTAATGAAATTAACACGAAATTCATTAAACATTTCGTTTCAAGTTGTCCTCCAAGCTGCTACATATCAAGGGATCCGAATTGCATTTGTCAAAGCGATTATATAATTGAATTCTATCAACCAGCGAAATATTCTATAAATATTTCGAAGCCGCAACATCGAACGTTTTAAACCTTATATTAATATCTCAAAGAAGATAAAGAAAGGACGCGTTTGCCATTTTTTGCATCTAAACTCAACCCAACCCGTTATAATGCAAACTTTATACAAACTATAGCTAAATCTGAACTAACCTAACCAAAACCGTCTTCATGGTGTTCAATTTCAATTTTTCTGCTTTTCTGGAAGTTTGCTAAATTATATTTGCATTAGTAATAAGCACTGTCTGCATTCTTGCTATGACATTAAAGGTGTTTTTCTAGTCTGCTGTTTTTTCCTGTAATATTTTCCTTCCTGTTGTAATATAGCATTTTTTTGGTGATACATTCTTGGTTGGAAATATTGTTCCATGTGTATCAAACAATTTTTACGTTATTACATTATAAATGGGAAGAATTCATTCTGGCAGGCTGTGATCAAGCCCTCAGACACTCTAACACTGACGTCGATTCGTTTGATGTAACGTTTGATTTAAAATCCGCCATCTTATCGAGGGTCACCAAAGGCGCGTATTAGAGTGAAAACGTTATTAGATAATTTACCACCAATAACAGTAATACCTTGGTGACCCTCCATAATATGGCCTTAGTTTCACCTACACGCCCCAAGAAAAATGTCCTTCATCAAACATGTTTCTTGATGACTGAGGTTCGATAGTTCTATTTGCTTGGTGGTTAGTCGGAAAATGTTGGGCATATTTGTAATCGCCATACAGTATTCTGATCACAGGTTTGACATTGCAAAAATTCATAAACCCACTGTCCACTGGTGAGTATAGATTTAGTATGGCTGAATCTTGAATGCAAATAGTTAGCTCAACGGCGTTCCATCTGATGGTTCCACATCATATACTTTCAATGTTGCTGTTATCTCTTTCGGATGGAGAGCGACGCATTTGGTAGGCGTAATTCCAAATAGATCTCGTAAACAGCAACTCGTAAAGTTGATGTTCTTCCAGACTTCAATGTATGTAGTTTAATCGGATTTAGTACTCTAAAATTTAGTGTAGTTAATTTTTTGCTAATAAATATAACCAACATTCTTTGAAAATTATTTACAACTATATTACTTTACAAGTTTAAACCTTCATTCATTATAGTTAGTTTCGTTTTATAAATTAGAAGGTTTAATCCACTTTCTAGAGCCGATCCTTCAGCTAACCTCTCCCAACTGCTAACGAATTCCTCGCCCAATATTTATGCAAAGCTCCGCCACACTGTGTGAAGTGCACTTCATCGTAATTAACTGTCCTCAATTTCAGGATAGCTTTATGGTTGTTCCTTTAATGAACGGGATTCCGGAAGATTAATTTGGGACGATCCGGTAACCAAATATGTAGGGGAAAAGTTTATTTTCCATTAAATTTATTTTGCTCGTAGCATTCGCGAGTCTGAGATTCTATGAACTCGAAACGATATATTATATAAGGGGAAATTTTCAAAACCGAATCACACCGAGGACATTAATAACGGTTGACCCAGTTGTGACGTTACAAAGTGAGCCCAACAGTGGGGGAATCTGCACAAATGCTTGAACAACTTGTCTGAGAAATCGTAAAAATATATTCTAGTTTACTGGGCGGTGAATGTAACTTTTTGTTCCGCCAAGTTAAGTTATTATAGATGTAAGATTTTTTTTGTTTTCAAGGAAAATAAACATCGAATGTTGAAATGATCGTATTCCCTTGTATCTCGTACAGGATTTTCCATTTTCTCTCTGGAGATCTACTGCAGCATGATCTAACCCAGATAAAATCCAGATTTGTGTTTATCGATGACGCAAATCTTTTTACCCGTACATATGTAGGTGGTTGCTTTTAGAAAATATCTTGTACTAAAAATCACATTCAGAGTTGCATCGCATCCACTTTCTTATTTTGCTTAAAAACATGATCGTAAAGAGCTACTGAAAATACTCAGATCGGCTTTTATAAATTTACATTTTAAAAGGAACCGTAACTGAAATCCTTTCAAAACATTGTAAACACAACTATTATTCGTAAATACGACTTCTAAATGCCATATATTTTTCATTTTACGATTCTGGAGTAAGTTTAAGAGTTTAGAGTTTGTTTTGAAAGAGAACATTATATCTCCAAGTGGCATTACACCGACGTCGTAATGAAGTTTAGGAAACTAAACTGTTAAATTTTATTCTGTTATTCGAAATGTGAGTTTAGAATACATAAACGATATCAAAATCTAACTATACTATCATGTTTGTATATGGTGGTAATAATCTCCACGTTTAATCTGTAATCTAAACGGTATACATAAATTTGTTGCAGGAAGTGCTATCGAGCGGATATGTGAGGAAGCGGAAGTGGATGATGCAATAGGAGATAGAACAGCACTTGTGAGAGCATCACGTTGTCTTCTTGGAGCAATTACTCGAGTCCTTCTACTGGCAGACATCGTTGTAGTGAAACAACTCCTATTGGCCAAAGACAAGGTCTGCATTTAGGGGCTTAGTGTGAGTTCGTAGGCGTAACGAATGATATAAACGAACATTATAAGAGTTCATTTTCACAAAAATTTTATTCCCGCGTTTTGGCAATAACTAAATTAAGTAAAATTAATGATTTAAAATTTACCAAGAACTCATAAATTAAGTAATTTATTTAGATTAAGAAATAAATTTTAAATAGGTAGACTAAGAAAGAATCAGGATAATATAGATGGTTATCCGGGTAATAATTAAGTTGACAATATTTCTATTCGGGTTGTTCCAGGTGGAACGCAGCTTGGACAGATTAGAGTCAGTGAATAACTTTACAGAGTTCGTAAAAGCGTTCAGCCATTTCGGTTCCGAGATGGTAGAGTTGGCACACCTGACCGGAGACCGACAAAACGACCTCAAAGACGAACGGAGAAGAGCTCAAATGGCTGCTGCGCGGCAAGTTTTAGAAAGATCTACTATGATGCTTCTTACGTCGAGTAAAGTAAGTTATTAAATTTTCCACGAATACAATGATATAACCTAAATCTATTTTAACTTTTAACTTCATAAATTTTCTCGAAAAAAGCGATTGCTAAAGAGAAACAAATTTGAAAATTACCGATTTTCTCATAACTTCGTTAACCGGGAATAGATTGATCACATAAAGTAAATTGATAGTAACCTAATTAAAGAGTTTGTAGATGGGTATCGTTTCGATACTATTCCACCTATACAAAGTTAGAGTGTTGCGAGTTGAGAGGATTTCCGCATAAATTTACTAACATCATACTTGCAAAATAGAATAGGAAGAGTGCCCTTAATGGGTAATCTGTTTAACGATACGTCGACAAAGGAACTCTCTGTTTTTGGGTCATTTTTTTATAAAATCCACCTATGTTGTTAAAAAAATTGATGGTCTTAATATTATCACTGTGTAAGCAAAATGTTCGCAAACATACTCGATAAACCTATAAATTGCTGAAATTTGTTCTCGATTGTAAACATTGAATTTCAAAAGCGCTATCATAACAGCGTTTACATCCAAATCGGTTTAATTATATATCTTGATTTATTCGTTGACCTTAACTGAAAAACAACATGAACATTGCACAATGCCACTTAAAATTACCATTTTCATAAATTTTACTTTTCAATTACAGAACGTAGTAATATTATCTCGCGTTTTATGTATGGTAATTGAGTAACATTTCACGTCGGCGTTTGCTCGATATTTTTCATTTCGCATTCTACAAAATCTAATTTCCACGATAAATTACTACCTGTTACTTTTATTGCAGCATCTTTTATGTAAATTTATCGTAGAGATTATATTAATTTAAGAAAATCACATTAGAATATACATATAAGTACATGATAAAGGAGTTTTAAACATGTTGTAAATTTTTATTTTTTTGCTGCTTACCTTGAAACATGGTTAATCGTGTCAGCTAAATTACTATTTATTTTAGTGAGGTACCGTTCGTGCAAAAGATTGCTTTTGGGATAAGAAAAGCCGTCTAGTTGAAATTTATGGCTTTCGATACGACTAAACAACCATAAATTTAGAAGTGAAAAGCTTATAATTCGTAAACTTAGAGCTAGCAGAAGTTATAAAAGTATACGAAAGAAAATTTTTATGTAGAGATAAGATGAAATAGTGTTTCCTCGAATATAAGCCGATTAAAACCGGTTTGACGGTTTCGTTGAGGTCTTAAATCTCATGCGGATTGTAATCGTGTGGGGAATTGAGTTGAGTTAATGTTTGGATTTTAGAAAATATGTATAATAAAAAAACTACTTCGTTATTACTTCGTTCCTATTCGCTGGAGAATCGGGGTCAACTGTGTAAATATTATCTTCTCCAACATATATTTTTGAGATAGAGTTTCTTACTGCCTGCAAATACTGGGCAACTTTTACAACAGAACTTTCTTATTTTCTGATTCTAAATCAGAAGTTGTAATACAATTTAAATATTGTTGTTTCATCTTGTTCTCAAATGGTATATTAACTCTTTACGTAGCGAAATTTCAGATTCGCAATTTTGGCACGAAAATATTTAGCTGCTGTTATAATTACACTTCTTCAACGGTGACATGTCATTGTCTTTTTTGGCTTCGTTCACTTAAAGGGATCAGAAATATACAGATTGTCGTGCAAGAGGAACACGAAAAGAACAGAAAAAACAGAGCATTGCCACATAGAACGATACCACAATATACATTTTGATGAGATGAAGATACTTGCCAGGAGGAGCCACAACTACCACAGGATGGCCAGAGAAGCCATAGAAGTTTATCATCATAAGAATAAAATCAGCAGAGAGGATTATATAGAGTTGAGCTGAACCAGGAAGAATTTATTGGACGCGATGAAAGATTTCCCCACTCTACACCAAACTCGGCAATTAGTTACTAGTGTATATATTGTTAACTTTCCATCGATTTTGCCACTTTTGAACTTGTTTCTCAAGAATCTTGGTATCCGAAATATCAAACAATATTTTAATGAACGCACGGCATAAACCGGAAGTTTCCAGTTTTAGTTTAATTCTGGTATTATTTATTTTCAACTCAATCCTGGCGCAACCTGTCTCATATCGTTTCTTTGCAAACCTACATTCTCACCTTTTGTCATCCTGGAATAAAGCGCAAAGCCTGTCTCATTAATTTCAGGAAACCGTTCTCTATTCCGGGTGGTTTTCTTTTCAGTACAGTTTCAAATTTTATCCCGCCGGCATGTACATCGGATAATTTTAAAAAAGATGCAGATTACATTCGTATAAGTTTTCAGGAAATACAGTATTTGAGAAAAATTTAAAAATAAGTTAAGGATTTTAAAGGATATTATCAACACTTCCATTTACTGCCACTTCAAATTTTTTTTTCATTTAGTTTCCTTAAAATCCCGTGTTAATTGACTAGAATAAATTGTCCCGAAATTATTCCCTTGTTTTCAAACTTTTTCAATTAAAACTTAAATTAGAATTTCTCATTAAAAAAATGCACACATCTACCTTATACAAAAATCATTGTTCTATTTTTGTCTACTATTTTTTTTGTACTTTATTTTCGCCTCTAAATTTTTAACCATCATTATTTTTTATTATTTAAGGCATGTTTGCGACACCCCGATAGTGGAACGGCGAGAGAAAATAGGGACACCGTGTTCTGCCAGATGCGACGGGCGATGGATTTAATACATTTCGTCGTAAAGGACGGTGTCCTGAACTCGAATGAAGCGAACCCTCCGCCACCATCACATAAGGACGCGCTTGATGCCGACAGGTCAACTGTTTATTCCTGCATGAGGAACCTGCAAAATCTTTTAGAGCTCAGCCGCGTCACTTTGGACAGCGCGTGCCATGACACTCTGCCAAACGCCTTAGAAGCCGTTTTGGAACGAACTCAGGACTTTACTGATAGTGCCTACACCAATCACGAACATCGGCAAGCGATACTTGATGGTACCGAAAGACTTAAAAATGAACTCGATCATCTTTTAGGACTTTATGCAAATGTGGTGCGTTATAAAAATTCTAAGTAGAAATTGCTATTAAAAACACATTTATTTCTTTCTTTTCTAAGATTTTCAATTTCACAGATTATCGCAAAAACGTGTGACATAATAACACACAGGTTATTACAGCGGTTATTGGGTAACTAACAGGGAAATTACAAAAGCTGTGGTGAACATTCAAGCCGAAAATGCTGTTAGCGGAAATATTGGGATTTTATCAAAATATAAATACCCCGCGCTTCGCGTAATTATGCTGCAAATACTTTTCACTTTATATATCCGGCTTTAATATTAATATTTTAAATTAAAAAAATTAAAATATCTGCTAAATTGTATTTGATTGTTCATTATTTCTTTAGATCGGATTTGAAGGTGCTGCAAATTGCCCGGAGTTAGAAGCGTGCGTAAACGCAACGGTGACCGCAGCTAAAGATTTAGCAAGAAATTTAGCACAAGCAGCTCTTCAACAAGCGCAAGAATTGAACACGGCGACGAAACAAGGTCAGGAACTGGTATCTACTGTAAAGCAACAAGCAAGTTTAAGTGATATAGACAGACTGCATCACACCTCCGAAGCCTTTCACGATTCAATCGATCACATTTTAGAAGTAAAAAATTTTTTTTTGTAATAATCGATAAATTATTTTTTTTATTTTTAGGTGTGTAAGTTATTAAGACAAGTAGCGATATCTGAAACACTTCAAGTATCGGCTAGATTTTCAGAAATTAATTTGAGAGTATATGGGCCACAGGTAAAAAAAAAATACAAATTATTTTGTATCCATTCGATGTTTATGGAAGATTTAGATAACTTAAACGGTAAATTTGTAATACGTTAGGTAATTACGGCCGCTAAGACTTTGGCTCAGTATCCCGGAAGTAAGATAGCACAGGAAAACTTAGACGTCTTCGCTGATATGTACCAGTGGTTGGTTTCGGACGTAACGGCCGTAGTAAAGGGAGTTTTGGACGCGAGCCAATCGAGACCTGAAAAGCAAGTGTACATGTCCTTGCCAAGGCCAGGGGTAAAGATACTTTTGAAAGCCACTTTGGCATCCAGATTATAAGGACGACTTGTTACGAATTAAAATACGCTTCCATTTGCCTATAGAAACACGGAACTACCTCGAAACCTCTCAAGTCGGTACGTTTAGATGTAGACGAACAGGAAAAGATTGCCAAGTCTGGTTTGGAAATGAAACTTATCACCAGTGAAATGGATGCGGAAACGGAAAAATGGCAAGAATCAAGTACACAACTTGAAGTAAATAATTCATTTAAATGAAATCTTTTTTTTTAACCCAAAATTATTTCAGGAAAATAACGATATAGTTAAGCGAGCGAAAAACATGTCGGCAATGGCATTCTCAATGTACCAATTTACAAAAGGAGAGGGAGCACTAAAGACAACACAAGACTTATTTACCCAAGCTGAATATTTCGCAGAAGAAGCGAACAGGTTGTACAAAGTTATTAGGCAATTTAGTTATCAGGTAAAAATCATAAAATCCAATTTTTAAACTCAAATTGATACATCATTATAAACCAGGTTCCAGGTGGATCGAATAAAAAGGAGCTTTTGGAACACTTAGACAAAGTGCCAACGTTCGTACAAAGGTTACAATTTACAGTTAAAGATCACACGGTCGGAAAGGCAGCCACTTTCACAAAAGTGGATAACGTCATTCAAGAAACGAAAAACCTTATGAATGTTATTTCAAAGGTCGTAACTACATGCTTTGAATGTGCTACTAAAGTAAGTTATTTGTTTAGTAATTATTAAGTATAATTATTAGTAATTAAGGCTGTGATGTCATTTTTAATGAGTTGAGAGAAATTATAAATTGTACTATTTTATGAAAAAGATATATTTGTGTTTTCAGGACGTAATTGTTTTTTAAACTTAAATAATAACTTTATTTTCACCTATTGTATGGTGTTTGCAAATGAAAGAAGTTGCATGTTCCAAAACTATAAAATGCAAATACTGTCCTATGTCTTAATAACAAGTAAAATGATCATAAATATAAGACAAATGGAAAGTAGCATTCTTCTGAATCTAAATGACGATAAGTGAACCTATCAGGAAACTCAGAGAAATCAAATCTGTGTTATTCAAAGACTGTTGAGATTATGTTAGGGACGATTTTGATGTCACAGATGCTGTTGTAAATGATTGGAAATATGAACCAAAATAATATTGACAGATAATAGGAATTTCTTTGGCAGATGTTCAACAGTGTAGGATGCAATAGATGATTTAGAGATAAGCAGTGACCATGTTAACAGATATCACCACATCATACTATAAAAACTTGGCGAATTTTCCTTTTATTTGGTGAAAATTTCACATTTCCATCTTGCTTTGTTTTCTCTCAACTCGTTAAAAATAATTTTCAGTCTTAACATATAAAATAATTATATAATTATTATTTACTTGAATAATTTTTTAACTCATAGTTCAGTGTTGCAATGCCTCAACGGGTTAAATTACCATGTGTTTCATTAGATGGTATACATTTACCATCGCAAGTGTCTCCGCAAAATTTGAATAGATACGTCACCTTTTCTGATTATGCAACAATGCCAAGGAAAAATCGGTGATTTTTAAATATTTTCATTTTTATATTGCATCGTTATTAACAATTTATAACCATTAAGGAAGTGTTTTCAATGTTATTGTTACTAAAACCGAAACTAATAATAATGTTATTTTTTTTTTGAACATGAGAGATTGTGAGTTTTTGTGTTAAAAATAATTAAAACATCCGCTTTAAAAAAGTTTTTAAAATTACGATGAAATATTTTTCGTATCAATACAGATATGGAAATGTCTTTGACGTCTCTAAAGCAATATTTATGAGATCTGGAAACGATTCGCAATTTTCTTTCTATTACGACAATAATTGAAGATTTTCTTTAAGGTAACTCCGTTTTGAATTCATCACCTCTCAAAGTTCTTAATCAATAAAATTGAATAAATCGTCGATAACATCTCTAATTAAATCAGATACATTAATAACTTAATATTATTTTGTTTCAGGATTTATAACAAAACTAATTAAAATGAATTTTAGTGTTTCAAGTCTTTAATTTTGTTATTAATTTTGTTTTAGTATAAGCTAGAATTTCGCGGAAGTGGTGCTGGAAATGGACGGGGATCAGGTGGTGATGGAGGCTCCTCCAGTGGCGGAGGAAGTGGAGCAGACAATAAGGGTGGAGGAGCAACCGGTCAAGATTCAAGTTTATGACAGTTGGGGATGTCCAGGCGCAACAAAGGAGACTCGAGACGCACTCGGGTCTCCTTCTTGTTGTTCTAGGACATCTATATCCAATTGCTGCCGGTTCATCCGTGTTCAAAAAAGCCGTTACGTTTTGCGAAATCATTCGTTGTTATACGTTTAAAAAGAAAAATAGTCGGAGAGGCGTTCGTTTAGTTTTTTTGAAGATGAGAAACGGTCGAGACGTTTATTTTGCAATCGAAACAGGTGTAAAGCATGTGATAATTAATAAAAAAGTACTAGATTTTACGATGAATTGAAACAGAGAAATTAATAAATGTTAAAATAATTAAAAAAAAAAAACTGTTGTGTTTATAGAACTTAGATGGAAATAAAAACATAAACTGATAACACCAATAATTTTAGAGACGATTTTAACACTTAATCTATTCCAATAAATTGAAGATTGAAAGAACGTTTTTGTAGATTTCAATTTATTTTTGTTAATGAAGTACTGCCATTAATTTAGATAAATGTTAATAATTAATTTATTGGAAAAGATTAACTGTTTATTTAAAAAAAAGCCATGGAAAAACCATACTCCTCTCGCCCGTTCTGATATATAATATAATCTCTGACTATTTAAATTACACCGACGCATGGGCTTCTCATAAATGTCTTCCATTCGTAACGCGACATATAATGTGCTGGTAAATAGAAACCCACACAACAATGAAAATAAAAAGAACAAATTTCCATGGACTTATTTACTAGAAATGTCGAAAGAAGATAAAAAAAAAACAATCAAGTGAACATGACTGTGTAAAATCATCTTAAGCTGTAATAATATAATTCAAAAGAAAAAGTAATATGTAACTAAATAAAATAAATAAAATAGATTCAGCGATATTGTTATGTAAATATCGACGATAATAGCCTTTTTACATTTTTTGTACCTACTGATACGTAGAAACCCAATGTGATCTCTATTGAGCGATCATTAAAATAAAAAGGAATAAACTAAAAATAATAATTTTGGTTCAACTTATTTTAATGATCATTATTAATTATTATGCGTTAAGTTATCCATTTCATCATTTCTTTTATAGATTAAAACAATTCTCTCGTGTCATTTTCACATTAAATTTAAATCTTAAGACGTTAAATACAAAGTTAATAATAATAAACCGTGTATCTGATGTTTTATATCCACTTGAGTACTCGGTTATAAGGATTTTAGTGCACTAGACGAAAATATTCGGTATTTGGTGGATATACATAATTGTGATGCATTCATATAAATAATATATTGATAATACCGAGAACAATAATAATTAGAACAATATCGCAGAGTATTATTTTTACACGGGGCAATAAATAAACAAATATTCGAAATGGAAGCCAAACAGCTGGAATATTTTTGTCTCGTAAATTTGTATAGTATCTAACATAAATTGTTGTGCCTATAAAAAGCGAATCATAAAGGTAGAATAGGCGAAATTAAATTTGTAGGATGGATGTTAAGAAAAAAGATTGGTTATTATGTTATAGAATATTCTTATTGTAGATATTAATAATAAAAATCATTCAAAATTTCTAAATTAATACAAAAACATCGCACAATATTAAGCATTTTTAAAGCCTCATTTTATCACGAGCAATACTCAAAATTTATTCAAAAATCTTTGTGATAATTATAATTGTCAAAACGACTTAGGCCTAATACCATTAATACGAATCTAAAAATTGTTATTAAACATATCATCTAATTATTTTTTAATCGCTTATAAAGCAATACTTAAACAACAAACACAAGCAATATTTAACTTGTTAAATCCCAAAAAAATATTGTGCGATGTTTTCTTTTTTGTACTATAATAATTAACCGTTACGACGACAACTATGTGAAATTTTAACTTATGTATAGCAATATATTGATGTTCTAGTTGATGTGTGCATCTTTGGGATATCTTTAAAAATGCGTTCAATATTATAACTTTTAAAATGCAAAATTTCTTGTAGCACATAATTTCTTCGATCGTTTTCCTTAAACATATTTCGATTCTCGAGAAATAAACCATCGTACGGCGCTCGTTAAGTTTTAATCTTAGTTGAACCCAAGGTTTGTGAAGTAGATTTTATATAGTTACAAAGAAGAATATTTTCGTGAAACCAGTAGAACCTAGATTTTGTACCTCTTACGATAAAAATAAGAAAAAAAATCAAATAAAACGAGTAATTGTTAAAAACATGGTATGAACTTAGCGTGTAAACAAGTCGATGTAATTTAAGGACGAAAAGTTTCTATAATATTTGTGTGGTTTTATGTACGGTGATTGAATATATGATACTAAGCAATTATATCTGATAATCTGTTTAAAGTTGTTTGTATTTTCTTATGCAATGAATAGTATAAAAAAAACCCGTAGTGAATATAGTAATATTATTTTGTTTGACACAAAATAATTAATTAAAACAATCTAGAAATTTCAAAATAAAATTGTTTTTACATATTAGGTTTGTGCAAATTGTTTCGAACATTTAATAGTTTGAAAATATCACTCGAATATGTTATGAGAAGAGTCGGAGTTGAATTAACCGCAACCTTGAAGTAAACAAGTCCGTTCAAATGGGATATGCATATGACAAGGAAACCTTGAAAGTGCTTGAAGAGAGGTTGGACTAAGGATCAACGAAGACAAAACTAAAACCCTGATTTAGAGTAAGAGATGGAGATATCATGTTGGGCAGAGTATAACAATTGGAAACTATCATTTCGAAGTAGTGGACAACTTTAGCTACCTAGGCAGCAATGTAAACACAGAAATCATGAGATTCTGAAACATCCACAACCAGATGAAGATATAGTGAAGGATACGACACAACAATCAACTACATGAGCATACAAAGAGCCCCCTTCACAACACACATAAAATAAATGCAGCTCCACTGGGCGGGATAGTACAACGCATGCTAGAGACACAGGCAGCAACCGAAAGTGTTTTTATACGCATGGCTGGTAGACCAAGAATAAGATGGGAATTCAACGTGACCATAGATGCTCAGGAGATTCTCGGGATGAGAAGCTTGAAGAGAGTGGCCGAAGAGCGAGGCGCTTGAAGAGAAGGCATCAAGGAGACCAAGGTTCGATTTGGGCTGTAGCGCCAGAAGAATTACATTTATCAGAGATAGAGCGGAAGATTTCAGTGGCAGCTGATAATGTGTAATCTTTTTATTCTCTTGCTTTGAATTAAGATATGCGATCTTATGTGTTTTTGAACTTCTATGAAGATTATTGCGTTAAAGAATGTGAGCTGCGCAGGTATCTATGAAAAATGTTCAAAATGTGACCAGTGTTGTAGTGGAATCAATGTTCGTTTTTTTTTAACAAATTTTGTGTTATGAGTAGTTGCCATGGTTTCAGGCATACGCTGTATAGTAAGCCAACCTCACTTGAGTTTATCCAGTATATTGCGTTTTATTTAATTATAATTGATACTTCAAGCAAACCTAGAACATCTTGAGGTTGCCTAAAGTCCACAAGTTCATTGCTGACGTTTTATTCGTTCTATGCATAAAATGTCTGGAGGTCTTATTTTTGCACAATTACAAAAAGTTGCTCGGTATATACTTTGTATGTCCGAGAAAGTAGAAACTTTTAGAACACGATATTAGAAACAAATATTTATTTCCAATACACAACGTTTTCTCGTGATGTTTAATATTAATTTATTTAGAGTTTTACATTATTTATCTGCATGTGGCATTTTAAATGTTAAATTAGCAAGTTTTATTTCATGTATATGCAGTAGTATTACGATTTATAAGTAGAGAGGAAATATAGGATTTTCGATCCAAAAATGAAGATATATTTGGATTTATGTGTTGTAAAAAAATTACAAGGAATCATTTTTTGTGGTATTAATTTAAAGTAATTGTATGAAAGAGGTGATTCTTTGACATAAATTTAGGTAATAATTTTCTTAATGGAATTCATAAGTCAACGCAATTAATAATCTGTTTTATTATTTAAATTATGCTCGCATATCCACAAGATAAATTATGAACCTATATAACTATAGTTATAGTTGCCAAGTAATAAAACACTTAAATTTATTATTTAATTTTTATTATATTGAACAAAGATTTTGTTGTTACTCTAAGTAGTAATAAAAAAAACATATATATCAAGGTTACTTCCGGTACAAAAATGTTATTAAAAAATTTTCATTGAACGTGTTGATACTTATCAATTTCAAACAAAGTGACAATTTATAAGCATATCTATCTAAGGTATACTAATTCGTACTAATTGAGTGAATTGATCTTGTTTTGTTCTTTAGAAAAGTTTCGCTCCCTCCACTTTACTTTGCATACACTGTGAGAGCTGAGATAGTTCTATAAAAGATTTCTGCAGAATCTTTAAAAGTTAGAGTTCGTTTGAACTTGGGGTACTAACAACTTCTTAACCAGCTTTGAAGATTCTTTACAATGTGGTTAAGATTGTTTTGTGTGATATGTTTATCTACATACGTTTCCACGCAATCCACCAAACCCAACATCGTTGTGATTCTTGCCGATGACATGGTAGGTTTTTGACTTTCTTTATTTAATGAAATAAATTAATTTCATAATTAACGAAATTGTCATCCATTATTATTTAATTTTAAACTTAACAGTTCACTTTATATATTTTTTTTTCAATCATGAAAAGACTTAATTATCATTATAATCCTAATTAGCATATTCACCGATTTAATTAATTCAATGTGTAATAACTAGTAATATAATGATTATGAATTCCATTTACTTTATTACAATAATTTTTCTCCGTTTTTCATTTACACCTAGAAAAACGTTTCTATAAATAATCTTATTCCCTTAAGTGATTTTGCCATTTTTCTCTTATTTTTGAAACAGATTCAAGGACGAATTAAGATGCAAAATAATATATTAACGAACGAAAATTTACATTAATGAGCCTAATGGCGCAATGAGACATCATAAAAATGAGATCATTAAAATTTCCAATTCGATTAGAGATGGTAATTAACATTATAAAGCACCGTAGGTAATTTTTTAAGTTGTAATATATTTTTTTCTTTGTAAATAAAGTTGTTTTTAACGTTTATCTTTTCGTAAGAAATTGGCAGATACGTCAATAAAAGTTTTTTTAGTCACCTTGAAACAATCCAAAGACACAATTTGGTATAAATATATCTAAGAAAATTGACTTTATGTAATTTAATTTAATAGGAAAACCCATTAACATTTACATAAATGTAAAACAACAACACATTTATAAATAATTTTTCTACAATTTTTAATATATTTGTTTAAGGGTTGGGATGATATCGGTTTTCACGGAAATAATGAAATTCCAACTCCGAACATTGACGCTTTAGCTTACAATGGTGTAATTCTGAATAGTCATTACACTCAAGCTTTGTGTACTCCTTCCAGATCGGCGTTTTTGACCGGAAAATATCCCATTCACCTCGGTAAGTTTTTACTTTAAAATATCATGTGAATTGTCTGTCGCATGTACTATATCTAATGAAGGTCAGGGATTATTTTTTTTTAAATTTTTTTACTTGAGAAAAGTAGTCATACATAAAGAAGTGGTAAAATTTAAATTTAAACAGAGCCGCTTAACGACATTGAACAAATCCCGGATAGAAATTATAATCGGTACACACCTACAAATTACTTTAACAAAATTAATAAGAATTAAAAAAGAATAATATTTATTCTGCTAATATAATAGGCACTTTACCTCCATAAATATGTAAAATGATTATTTAAAAAAATTGACACGCATACAACATGATAAAATCTACATAATAATTATATGTGGTAATTGCACAAAAACGTAACAATAAGTTCTTTACAGGTATGCAGCATTTGGTTATCCTTGAACCCGAACCATGGGGCTTACCATTGAATGAAACCTTGTTACCCGAGCACTTAAAAAGAAACGGGTACAAAACCCACGCTGTTGGAAAATGGCATTTGGGTTTCCACAAGAAAGAATTTACACCAACCTATCGAGGTTTTGACACGCATTACGGATATTGGCAGGGATTTCACGATTATTACGAACACACGATTAGAGCCACCGTAAGTTCACCTTGTTCTTTTTATTCTTCATTAGTTAGAAAGTACGCAGAAATTATTAATTTGTTGCCATTAAGATAATGTGTACATTGTAAATATTTTTTAAATAAGAATCACGTTTCTGTTATTTACAAACCCAAATTGAATCAAACTTGTTATTAATGCAATATTGAAGTTCTCAGCTAAAGATTTAGTTTATTTAAGACTAACCACTGTTTGTCGCACGATTTCTTTGTCGCGAAAATAAAGCACACACACAGAAAAAATCGTTATTCCAAGCGCGTGTTCCAATTCAAAACAAGGCGCTTTATTTTTGCGACAAAAAAGTCGTGCGTCAGAAAGTTGTAGTGTTTTCATTGATAATTCAGTAATTACTATGTATATAGGGAATTTCACTTAAGATGCGATATACAAAAATATATTTCGATAGAAAGTAGGGCTTTGTCCCTTATAAAATACAACATGTCAATATAATTTAAGACTACAGTGAACTCATTCTGTCTGTTATAGCTCAATAAAAATATACAATACTCTAGTGCTGAATAACAAATAAAACTAGACTAACACTCATACTAGAACTAACACTAGACCTACTACTAGACCTCTGTTTTCAACGTTTCTACACGAACCCCACTTTCTTTAATTAATTCGATAATTCTTTTTTGATTTTTTTGTGGTTCCCCTCGTTACTTACTTCATTATCTAGGTATCGTTTTCATGGCGACTGATTTGTTTTGGGTTTTCCGCTGCGGTCACCTCAACTACCTACTTCTTTCCTTTCTTTTTTATACATATATGAACAAATATGTTTTTTTTTAATATAGTCAAATTTATTCACTCCCCCGATTACTCGGGATTTCCCGAGTATTCGAGTTTTATCACGTTTATAACCAAGCACCTATTCAATCAATTTAATGCAATTTAATTTTGCATACATTTTCAGCTATAAAATATAACTAACATATATTACTAAATACATTATTTTATTTTTTAGTATTCTAATGAAACAGGATACGATATGCGTCGAAATATGAGTGTTGATTGGGATGCTAAAGGAAAATATTCAACAACTTTGTTTACAGAAGAAGCCGTCAAAATAATTAAAGAACATGACACAACAGATCCTCTTTTCATGTATTTCGCTCATTTGGCTCCACACGCAGCTAACGATTGGGAACCTTTGCAAGCTCCCGATGAAGAAATTGCAAAGTTTTCATACATTGAAAATCCAAATCGACGAATTTACGCAGGTTTGAATTGTTTTTTTGAGGCGTTATATAAGTTCGAATTAGAGAAATGGCCGAGAACAATATCCGAGCACCATCACCAAATCTTCGCACTTTCACAAAAGTAGTCTTGGGCTGGGCTAATAAACACATGTCATTCGAAATAAATGTTAATGTGTGCTTTCACTTTTTTGAAACACGTTCCATGGTCATTCTTGAAACGAAGGAATAAAAATCGAGAGAAATTTATTCCATAATTGGACTTTTCTCCTAAAAGACTAGAATTATTATGTTATTTTTATTTCTTATAGCTATGGTATCTGAAATGGACAAAAGTGTAGGTGAAGTTGTTACTGCCCTAAGAAAAAAACGAATGCTCGAAAACACAATTATCCTCTTTATGTCTGATAATGGAGGTGCAACAATCGGAATACATTCTAATACAGGCTCAAATTATCCATTACGAGGAGTATGGAGGCAATTAATGTTTAAAACTTAGTATGTTTAATTTAATTTATTTTTTTAGATGAAAAATTCTCCATTTGAAGGGGCTATGAGATGCTTAGCTGCCATTTGGAGTCCTTTAATTAAACAACCTAAACGCGTTATGAACGATTTGATCCATATTTCCGATTGGTTACCTACGTTTTATTCTGCTATAGGTGAGTATTGATTTAAAATGATGTAATTTAAGATTTTGTTACCACAGAATTTCTGCCTATAACCTTCTTACAATAATTTTCATTTTTCTAACCGATAATTAGGAAACTAAACGAACTGTACAATCTATTTCAATGTCATTGGGTATTGCTTTAATAATTTTGAACTAAATTATCATTACGTAGTAATTATAATTTTTATTTTTCGTGAAGGTTTAAATCAAACAGAACTCGGTGTGATTGATGGTGTCGATATGTGGGATGCTATTTCTGATGGGAAAGAAGGAAAAAGGTCGGAAGTACTTTACAATATTGATGATGTATGGAAATACGGCGCAATCCGAAAAGGTCCGTGGAAATATCTTTATGGATCAGTATCAAAAAAAGATTCTTGGTATGGTGCACCTGTAAATTCCAGTTATTACAATACCTACAGCATTGAAGATGTAATGAATTCTAAGGCTGGTGTTTCAATTTCTGGTACTTTCACACATCAGCAAATACACGAAAATATATTTGGGAAATTATTAGGAAAGGAAGAAGCTTTAGAGTTACGAAAAAATGCGACTTTGAATTGTACCCATAAAAAGGTAAATTATTTCAACAAAAATCAAACAAACTTTATAAACAAAATTGTTAATTATAGGGAAATGTTTGTAATCCGTCAAAATCACCTTGTTTATTCAACTTGGATATAGATCCCTGCGAAACTAACAACTTAATTAAAGAAAACCCCAAAATCGCCAATGAACTATTAAAATCTCTTGAGCAATATCGAAAAACCGCTTTACCTCTCATAAATATTCCCAGAGATCCAAACGCGGATCCAGCTTTATACAATGGCACCTGGGTGAACTGGAAAGATTACGTCGACGTTACTATCATTAAAAAAGAAGTCACTTTTAACGAATTATCTCCTTTAGCGCTAGTATTCATCGTGGCTTCTTGCATCCTAGTTATTATTGCCATTGCGATATTAGTGATCATATCGTTGACACGTGACCGACGAGATCGAAAAGGAAAATATCACGATGTGCAAACTTCTTTGAATGGTACAGATTAGGAACTTGAATGGAAAATTATGATAAGATAATTGGTGTACCAAAGATTGCGATGCAAAAATGAAACGAAAAAATTTGATTGTTTAACAGTATTATTTAGATAATACAAGTAATACGAATAAAGTTGTTTTGAACTTAATGTAATTAAAAAAATATACTGAATAAATTTAATAAAAGAAGTAAAATGTTAATTATATTCAAATTTTCGTCTATCATGAAAGTAAGAACTCTGTACGTGAGACAGATTATACCTAGATATAGTCAAATATAATATTAATTATACCTATGTATGCGTCAATCTAGATATTATTTCAGCCTGTTCCATTTCAGTTTTTTGTAAAGAATTAAGAAAAATTTTCAATCTTTCAAATTCCATTGATTTCTCACCAATTAAAGCCTAGAAAAGATAAAAATGTATCATAATACTTAAATTTCACTAACTTATGATAAATTTAAGCTTAGTCGGCTTAAAATTATAGCAACTAGTTGCGCCATCTATCGCTGACACATAAAATCACCATAAAAATTACCACACATGCAGAAATCTGTCATATAATTTAATCATGTAGCAATTTTATGAAACCAAAAAAATTACGACTTTAAATCATAAATAAATAAAGTAACAAAAAGGATATTAATCTGATTTCATACTTGTAATTGTTGTTGATTTGTTTCTTTATGTTTCTCCATCGTTTGTAATACATTTCTAGCTCCTATTGCATTAATTTTTTGTTTATCAACTTCTTCTCCTAGCTTTTCCACCAATGATATAAATCCATTAGATAACTTTTGAAACTCATCGATTTCTAAGAGAAAAATTTCAGTATGTGTTAAAAAATTAAATGAAACTTACTTTCCACATAAGCTCTGCATTCATCCTTTAAATCATTAGTTTCTTTTGCAACATTAGGATCTAAAATTCTCACTTTATCCACTTCATCGAAATATATCCCGACTTTTTTAAGCGGTTCAGACATCGTCAACACTTTTATCGTTATTTCTTCTATTGCTTTTGTATTCAAAATACAGAATACGTTACCATGGAAACGCACAGCTGTTTTTCTGTCTCATAATATATAGCCATCTTTGTCGCTTATGTATTTAATGGAGTTTAATTGAGGTTAGGTGAAAGAGGTAAAGTTTGAGGTTAGGAATGTGAAATCAATTACATAGTCTTCCAAAAATGTATCATTTTTTCGCCAGAATTTTATTTGTAGTAGGAGTAATTTTAGGTAACTCATCGATTTTAGTTCCATTATAAAGTTTATTCATCTTTATATACATTTTTTAGGAATGTTTTTGGCTACGATAACTGTGATATTAACGAACAAATATCAAACTCCGTCCAAAATTTCGGAATTAACTAAATTTCCCAACAATTTCAATTATAATAAGTGGTTGTTAAATAATGGTATGCAAACAGAAAAGGTTCAAATGGATGCAATACGTTATAAAAATCATAATTATTTATTAGAAAGTGAATTTTTATATGATAAAGTTAAAGTGCTCTGTATTATATTAGTTAGAAATATGAGAAATGCTGAAGCTGCAAAAGCTACATGGGCTCAAAGTTGTAACGATGTGAAATTAATTAATTTAAAAGTAGATAAAAAGAAAATCTTAATTTCGATGAAGAAAAATAAACAAAGTTCTACATGGAGATTGCTTTGTAACAATTTATTGAACGTTTCGAATACTTTTGATTGGATTTTTGTTGTAAATGATAATACATTTGGGATTGTGGAAAATTTAAGATTGTTGGTTGCTCCGTTAGATAAATTAAAAGGTTACTATTTGGGTCATGCTGTTAATTTTTGGGGTTTAAATTATAATATTGGATTGGCTGGTTATGCTATTAATAATGCAACATTGAATGCCTTAAAAAATAAGTTGTTAAAGAATAATGATTCTTGTACAACAGAAATAACTTTTATGAACAAAGAAGATTTTTACTTAGGTAAAATCTTATCTTCATTAAACATATTTCCCGAGGATACAAGAGACTCATTAGGATTAACTACATTCCATTCATATAATTTGCAACAAGAATTTTTTGTGGATTTGAATTATTATAAAACAAGTATTTATCCAGTAGAATGTTGCAGTTCTGAGTCAATAACATTCCAAGTAAGTATGGTAAATACTATATTATGTTGTTTTGCTTTTTAATTTTAAATTTGGACAGTAATGAATTAATAAGCCTCTGGAGGATTTATATTATTGTATGTTCATAGGATTATATTAAAGGTACATATTTGACATGATAACAAACCGTATTTTTTGTGTACTGTATTATCCATGTTGTAAAGAAAGCCAAATATTGTAGAATAAATTACAATTTACTTTAGTTAATACTGCTTTACAAAGAATAGATTAAGAGAGTAAAGTTTGTGCAATTATATAAATGTTATAAGAGGATTTGTTAAAATTTGTTTAGATATCTTATAATACATCTGTCCTAGTCTTCATTTTGGTATTATTTAAAATGGTTATCAATTTTTTTTATATCTAACTTCTTCATTGAATATTTAAATTCTGAGGGTAATGGTTCTTTCAGTTTTCAAAGCGACATCTTATCTCTCATGTTATATATAGAACAGATCCAACTATCCATAGTTATATCCGTGCTCGCGCTTCGTTTGGGATCAAATATTTCCCTTCTGGTTGTACGTTAAGAGCTTTTCTTAATTTTCTTTACCGGAACATTTCTTCGATGCTGCGACTCTCTAAACAGTAAAGTCGTGATTACGCTTGGCTTATAGTTCACTGCCTTACGTCTGATAGTCTGTGGACGTTTTCATGAGAATTGTGTCAGAAGATGAGTCTTCTTCTCTTGGATTAGCACATATTGAAGACTGCGTCTCATCTGCTGTATGGGACACAGCTGAAGAAGCAAAGCTTCATCAGGAATAACGTGAGGGTCGAACGGATAGATCCCTGAAGCCACTCTGTATATAATTTACTGTCAAAGTTCTTATCCACACCCTAATGAAAACTACTCTGATATCATTCTTCCTTAAATTCCCAAATCATTACGTTATCGAGAAAATGTCATTTCATCTCTAAATATGTGATCTACATGATTTTACTCCGAAAATTGCCGTTTGTGGTTCATGACATCATCCACAATTTCAAATACGCAGACAGTTTTGCTTTTATAAGTTTCACATTTTAAGAATTTTCGAAAGTCTTTAACAATACTTTGTGGTTGAAAGAAAAATTTGAATTTATTTGTTCAGCGGTGACCTCACATATCACTTAAAGGTTATACTCAATCTATCCATGTCGTTGCGAAAATCGGAAATTGTGGGGAAAGATATTTTGCTATGACCGAAATTTATACGAACTTCAGTAAAACACAGAGTTGTTAAATCTAAAAGATAGATTTACTGGAAAAAAAGTTTCGTATGAACTTTACAGGTAAAAAGCAAAACTGGAACCTGCGTTAAAAACAATAAATACTAAAAGTATTAATTACTTCTCCTTCTTAGTATTTTTTTGTTTGTAAAAGGCAAACAAACTCAGGTAACTAAATAGTTATTTATGTACCAAATCCAAAAAATATTGCTTTTAGCACCAGCCTAAAGGTTTAATAATAATTATGAAATACCTGTAGCCCTGCCAGCTTAATTATAAAATCTTAAAACCGGCATTACAGCGAACGAGTTGTGTCTTAAGCCGGCAATAAAATTTCAGTCGTAAATAAGAATAGATTAGACATAGGGTCATTAAGCAAATATTTAGATTGATAAATAAACAGATTTATTTATATTCAGAAATTAATGGTAATTTTATCTTCCAGGCAATAGAGGCAGATAAAATGTATATGTATCACTATTTAATATATCGCTTGCAAGTATTTACGGCCGGTCATTTAGGAAACAAAACACCATCAACTAACGTTCCAAAAGATAAGGTAATTAAGAATAGACTAAAAATATATATTTTTAAATAAATTAATGTTTTTTGTTTTAATCTACAGGTATGGAAAACGTTTTTAAAAGAACGTGGAATCCCAGCTGATAATGTATCAGCGCAACAGTATTATAAAATTTGGGAGGATATTGTTCATGATCCATCGGAATTTGTAAAAGAAATGCGTCAATTAAAGTACGACTACAAGTAAATTGTGATCTGCGGTTGTTATTTTTTATCTTTACGTTTAGACCAATTATTTTTACAGATTATTTTGTTATAATAAAAGATTTGAGCACAAAACCACAATTTTCTTAGAAACTATGAAACCATTGTCCTGATTATCACTCCATTACCAAAAATCCCCTCATAGCCTTGACACATAATTGTTTTATATTATCTTAACGACTCTTGCAATTTCGGATAAACCTATCAACTGACGTTTCCTCTGGTCCCAAAAAAAAATGTGAATCTATGTCACAAATTGCACGTTATCGTCTAGCCAGTCATCCGCAAATTGATTACTACTAAAATTCAGAACAAAATATGGCTTTGATACAACGGGGTACGAAATAAAACGACTTTTGATAACAAACTTATTGGGTGGAGAGGGAATTAGCAGTAGTATAAATGCTCTGTCCGTTCCTCTTCTGGTGTTTTCTGTTTTGAAAGAGTTGAGTTGAGGACGCAAAGATGAAGGAGTTGAACATTGCGTTCAGTTACCTTCTCCTAATTTGTGTTCTTGTCTCTGGATTCGATTCGTAAGTATTATACAGGACGATTTTGTTAAGTGGTTTTTTTTACTTAAAATAATTTAAAAATAGACTACCTATATAAAAAATAACGTTTAACCGGCTAAACGTAATCTTTCAAAGCATACAAATTAAAAAAATTTTATATCTTATAATTTCAGTGATATCGATTATTTGATGAAAAGTCGTAGAGGATTTGATGATGGTGCACGTGGATATAACACAGGACAAAATAGGTAAGTTTCTGTTTCTTGTTATGTTTATAGAGTTAATTTTGTTTTGACAAGTATCTTTCTTTTTCGAATGTTGTTATTAAGAGTCGTAATTCAATATTGCAATCAAAGTTGTTTATAATAGTATACAAAAAGCAACTTTGTTATGATTATATCTTGTTCTTTATATTTGTCAATATTAATATTTTTTGGCCCAGCTATGAATGTATTTATATCATTAATATTAAGCTGTGTTGGATATATTAGTATATCCAACAAAAATATATTAGTATTGTTTTATCATATTATCATTAACTCACGAATCTTTCGTTACTAAATTCACTAGCTAAACGATCAAATTCCAGTATAAAACCTATTTCAAATAACACTATGGCTAGATACGCCTTAGGAGGCAAAGCGTTAGACTCCTGTTAAGAAGCTATATAAATTTAATAGACGTAATTAGAAAAATTTACTGAATGTCTATGGATGAGGGTCAATTTACTATGAATCATCTCTAACCATCACTAATAAAGTCCCAGTCTTCTACATGTAGTTCCTCGTAAAGTATTTTAAAGATAGTCGATTAGAGTCATTTAGATCCACACCAATTAGATTTTCCCAACATTTTAATTTTCTGGAAAATATCTTCCTTGATGTTATTAATTTATCTTGTCTCTATATGGTAATCTCAAGGTGTTCAAATCGATTAATGCTATTTTGACACACACCAATAAACCTTTTCAACTGTTTGCTATCTTTGAAACACTTTCAAAACACACCCATACTCTAAAATCTTCGAATTTTCGGGAAACATTTTCTTTAATACTATTGACTTATCTCGCCTCCATAAAATAATCTGAAGATATTAGAATCGATTAGTACCATTTTGACACACACCAATATGTCTTTTCAACTTTTTGCAAACACTTTCAAAAACACCACAAACTTTTCTTTTTAATCTTTCATTCCCTAGAGGTTCATTCTAGAGATATTTGTAGTCGATTAGATTCACACCAATCAGTTTTTCCCATATTCTAAATCTTTGAAACTTCTGGAAAACATTCCCTTTAACTTCTTTAACTTCGTTCGTTTTTGTCAAGTAATCTCAAAACGTTTTCAATCGATTTGACTCATTCTGACACTTACCAAACAACTGTTTTTTTTATTACCTGGTGTCTTTAAAAACAAATTTAAATCCACGAACTATACGATTAAAAATATATAATGGTTTTCACTTGAGTTATCGCTTCTCGCTTTGGTTATCGCTTTTAAATCTTCAAAAAAATTAAAATCCAATTCAATGATTTAATTTTCAATTAATACATAATTCATTATTTATTGTTTTTTGCAGTGGTGTAAAATCGTCTGGTTATACAAAAACAAAAACTTTTACAAAAACCGGTTATGGTCGTGCAGATCCTGAACCCCGTAGCTATGCAAAAACGTTTCAAAGGCCTAAAACGAATCAAGATGAAACCGAAACGTTTGATCCGATGTCGTTCATTGGTGGACATACAACGAATACAAAGTATAAAGGAGGTAAGCAAATTTAAATGTAAATCGAATAGATGGTATCTTCTAATTGAAGATGGGTATTTACATTTGCATATTGGACACAATTTGTACTTTTATGTTGTAGTACAAGTATGCAAATTTGTACTTTAATAGCTGTTTTTCCAAGAAATTCTGTTTATTTATTCTAAGGTGATAGGATTAAATAGGTTGTGTCCGAATGTGTATACGATGGTTATGTATAGCTTATTGTTTATTTAAATTTGTTAATTTTAGTAAAACAAACAATCTATACTTTATCTTGTAGTTATCTTTAGTAAGGTAATTACGTAATTGCGATAGTTGGAAGAATACATAAATAATTGCAAGTCAAATATTTAAAACTACGTGTTTCGTAATATTAAAATAATAATATATACTTAATCATTACTTAATTAACGGGCTGTGGTTTTGCGGTTTTTTGTTCCTGTTGGGAAGTTGGTTTTTTAATTAATGCGATAATCCTAACACCATTTTTTAAGATAAGAAGGAAATTTTAATAATGTTTTATCGGGCGCAACATGAAAAAGAATTATTTTTAAAAATTAAACTTTAATGAAATAAATAATAAAAACTTTTTAGTACAAACAATAACAGAAACGGGTATATAACATAACGAATATATTTAAGTTCTTTCTAGAGTATTTAGAATATTTGTTAATGATTGTTGCCGTGATGCATTGCTTCAAAAAGTCAGTGTAGGGTGGATAGTTAAACGACTACTAGAGTACACAAAATGGGACACAAAATTTGAATAGTTGCGCTCGATGAAAAGTTTAACATATTTTCCTATTTCCATTCATATTAAATAATTATAAAGATCCACTATTAATTCAATCATCAATCCATTCTTCATCAGGATGTAACATAGAGCCAAAACCTCCTCTAAATGGAAATCTAAAATGTTCGCGCGTTACCGGTTGCAAAGGAACTTGCAATGTAGATCATAAATTCCCTAACGGCCAAACATATTTGTATGCTAAATGTATCAACGGACAATGGCATGTAGAAATGGACACTATAGCAAGAGATTTTTTTCCCAATTGCGAACGTAAACCTGTAATTTATGCGAAATGGTTTAAATTCTAAATGTTCTTCTTTTTCAGCGGTTTGTTTGCCTGCTTGTGAAAATAATGGTATTTGCGTAGCACCGAATCGATGTAATTGTCCGGATGACTTCTCAGGTCCGCAATGCCAATTTGAATTGAAACCTTGTTTAAATTACCCACCGATGCCAAAAAATTCAAGAAGAACATGTGGCCCCACGTAAAGTTAACAAAACTAATTAGTTTAATAAATATTAAGTAATGATTTGTTTAGATCTTGTACAGTTACGTGTGCTCGTGGATATCAATTTCCTGATGGCTCATCAATACAACAATTATCATGTAAAAACGGAAATTGGATACCATCTCAAGATAAATTTGTTACACTTCCTGATTGCGATCGTAAGTTATAAAAAATAAAATTTAAAACAAAAAATAATTTTAAAATAAATTTTAGCAATTTGTGATCCACCATGTGAAAATGAAGGAAGATGCTTGGCTTTTAATACTTGTTTGTGTTCCAAATATTTTAGAGGCTCACAATGCCAATATTGTAAGTTATAAAAATTCATTTATAAAAATTAATTACTAAAAAGGTATTATTTTTAGCCACTGATCGTTGCACGCCAAAAGGACTTAACTTCAATGGGGGATACAATTGTACCGGGAATAACGAAGAGTTTACATGTAATTTAAAATGTGATGGTGTATTTGAGTTTCCGCCATCAACAACATATACCTGTCGTTATGACACTGGAGTATTTCTTCCAATGCCAATACCACAATGTCTTTATGGTAATACCAAGTATACTTTTTGATAATATTAACGAAAAAAATTGAATAATTTGTCGTTTTAGACCCCAGTTTTCACATTATAGGAATAAATAAAACCGACTCGTCGCGATTTGAAAACTCCTTTATACATAAAGGTTCGGGAATGCACAAATTTCCTGTTGGAAGCGATTTCTTGTTTGAAGATAACTTTGGGATTCCTGATATAATTACTGTTCAACAAAAGATCCCCCAACCTGGATCTTGTATAACATGGCGTGGCTCGCATTTTAAAACTTTTGATGGAAAAGTATATAGGTATGTTGAAAATTAAAAATCTACATCAAAATCACGTAGGTTATATTTTAATATTTTAGTTTTGATTCAAAATGTGCATACACGATGGTTAAAGATGCCGTTGATAATACATTTAATATCGTTGTACAAAACAACCCACATTGTGTAAACGATGTATCGTCGTGTTATAAAATTGTTACAATCTTCTATCAAGGAAAAGAATACACGTTAAAATGGGTTCAAGGAATTCCAGTTCTTATGAACAATAAAAAGATTCTTCCAATACCTACTCAAGTACCTGGATTAAGGGCAGAAATGATTGCACATTATATTGTTTTATGGTTGGATACTGTTGGAGTTAAACTTAGATGGGATGGAAAGGTAGAATTGCATTTCGTCTAATTTATGCGTGTATTTATTATATAACTTTAATTTTTAGGAATTCGTTCAAGTTGAAGTCAAAGAAAATTTATGGAATAGAACTGCCGGGCTTTGTGGAAGAATTGATGGATATGAATCAAATGATCTTACCACGAAAGATGGGCGAATACCTACAAATATTCTCACGATGATTAACAGCTGGCAAACTGATCATTTAGGGGGTACGATTTTTTAATTGTTGCTAGTTGAAATATTTAATACATTTATTTTATTTTAGATGAATGCAACTCGGTTCCTACAGAAGAACATGCTTGCAAATCTGTATCAAACGATAAAGCAAATGAAGCGAAGTCTTTTTGTGAACAAGTTCTTGCAGATAAACGATTTTCATCATGTCACAAGGTTTTACTAACGAATAAATTAAACTATTTGATTAATTAAAGTAAAACTGTTTTAGACAATGGATGTAGCCGTATTAATGAATGCTTGTCAATGGGATTATTGTTCATGTACCGATCTTGATCCTAAAACGTGCGCTTGTGACACGTTAAATGTGTATGTGCGGGAATGTACTCATAAAGGAATAAAATCATTAGCTTCTTGGAGGGATGATAGTATTTGCCGTAAGTTGTTTTATTTTGTGTTAAATTAAAATTGATTTTTGAATACATCCAGCGATGGTTTGTACTGGGGGACGTATTTATATGCCAAATGCTCCACCTGGTGGACAGGATACTTGCGGAACATCTATTGATAATGCTGGTGATGCGGATAGTTTAGAGGAAGGGTGTTATTGTCCTAAAGGATTAGTTTTGCATGAAAATAAATGCATAACTAGAGATAAATGTACATGCAGATTAAGAGGGAAAGATTTCAAACCTGGTGATACTGTTCCAAAGAATTGTAATACTTGTACATGCGCTGATGGACAATGGGTTTGCACACAAGTATATTTCATATTATTAATTTTGGTATTGTTTGATTTATTTATTTGAAATTTGTTAAAGGTTTCTTGTGGTGCTCGCTGCTCAGCTTTAGGGGATCCCCATTACATCACTTTTGATGGAAAACGTTTTGATTTTATGGGACAATGTTCGTACTATTTAGTTAAAACAAATAATTTATCAGTTGAAGCTGAAAATGTTGCTTGTTCTGGTTCTATTTCATTGGTAGATTTATAAATTCAATTTTATTCTTTTATTACATTTATTTTATTTAAGGCGATGAATTTACCAATCAGCATCTCAACCGGGTTACCATCCTGCACTAAAACCGTAACAATACGTTATGATGGACAAATAATACATTTGAAACAATATCAACAGCTAACAGTTAATGGCAAAGAATTAAATCGGTTACCTTTTATTATAGGTGGAACAAAAGTTAGAACAGTTTCTTCGTTATTTACAGTTGGTGCGTTCTTACAATTATTTATTTTTTTCGTTTCTTAAACTTAACTTTTTTATAGTTGAACTTTTAAACGGCGTTAGTGTATGGTGGGATGGTTTAACAAGAGTTTACATCGACGTTCCACCTTCATTTAAAGGCACAACAACCGTAAGATTTATTTTTTTGTTAATGAATAGTTTTCAAAAAAAAATTTTTAGGGTCTTTGCGGTACATTTACTGAAAACCAAAAAGATGACTTTTTAACCCCCGAAAACGACGTTGAACACTCTGTGGTTCAATTCGCGAATAAATGGAAAACTAGCGAAAAATGCAATGATGTACCAGACGTACTTAAGCAACACCCTTGTGATATGAACATTCAAAATCGAATTTTAGCTGAAACTCACTGCAAAAAATTAAAATCAGAACTTTTTGCAAGTATGATGATTCACTTAATTTGGTTAATTTTTACTTAATTATTTTTTTTATATTAAGGTTGTCATTTCTTTGTTGATCCCGACTCCTTTTATCAAGATTGTCTTTATGATATGTGTTCTTGCGAAGTAAAAGTAAGTTAATACAAATAATTTTTGTTTCTTAAAATAATTTAATTCGTATTTCGTTTTAATTTGTAGTTATCAAATTGTTTATGCCCAATGATAGCGGCGTACGCTCAAGAATGCGCTTTACAAGGTATAATAGTTGATTGGCGAAGTGATATTAAAGAATGTGGGGTTACATGCACCGGAGGTCAAGTTTATCAAGTGTGTGGAAACTCGTGTACAAGAACTTGTTATGACATTGCCACCAGTTCAAACTGCAAAGATAATTGCGTGGAAGGATGTAATTGTCCTAAAGGGCAAGCGTTGGATAATTATGGCGAATGCGTGCCTATTACACAATGTCCATGTGAGTTGGAAGGATTAAGTTTTCAACCTGGATATAAGGAAGTTCGCCCAGCAAGTAAAGGACAAGAACTTTGGTAAAAATCCTTTTTAATTTACATACTTATTTACCATAACATTCTTTCTATTTTTAGCACTTGTAAGAGCGCGGTTTGGGACTGCAGATTGGCGCTAAAAGAAGAAATTAACAAGTATCCAAAGGCAAGTGATAAGAAAACTATGTGTAATGAGGCTAAAAACTTTGAATTTACAACTTGTGAACCACCCGAACCTCTTACATGCAAGGTAAAATTATTACTAAATAAATCAGTTAGTGTTCTAAATAATTTTTTATTTTGAATAGAATATGCACCGAAATGATTTATATAGCGCGAGTGTTTGCCACGCTGGTTGTAAATGCAAAGATGGTTATGTTCTTGACTCTTCTTCAAAAACTTGCGTAAAACCAATTCATTGTCCTTGTCATCATGGAGGAAAAAGTTATGGCGAAAACGCTATGGTTCAAAGTGATTGTAATACATGGTGAGGATTTTCACTATAATATATGCATTATTTGTTAATAATTTATTTCTAGTACTTGTAAGAAAGGTAAATGGGAGTGCACTGATAGACAATGCACAGCTGAATGTACAGCGTGGGGCGATTCACATTTTAAGACGTTTGATGGAAAAATGTATGATTACCAAGGACAATGTGATTATGTTTTGGCGAAAGGAAAACTTAACTCCGTTGATAGCTTTCAAATATCTATTCAGAACGTTCCCTGCGGTTCAACTGGAGTGAGTTGTTCAAAATCATTAACAATCAAAATAGGACCTTCCGACCAACAAGAAAAGATAACCTTAGTTAGACACATGCCAGTTCAAAGTCCTCAAATTTTCAAAACATTTACAGTTCGTACACTCGACTTATTTGTGATTGTTGAAGCTGCCGATTTAGGGTTAATTGTGCATTGGGATAAAGGTACTAGAGTTTATGTTAAAGTCGACCCAAGATGGAAAAATAAAGTTAATGGCCTTTGTGGTAATTATAACGACAATGAGTTAGACGACTTCCAAACGCCTTTTGGTGGAGTACCGGAAGCGTCTGCAAGATTATTCGGCGACTCCTGGAAAATGCAATCATACTGTCCTGACGCTGAAGAAATAACAGACACGTGCGAAAAACGACCTGATCGTAGAACTTGGGCGTTAAATAAATGCGGTGTATTAAAAACCTCAGTTTTTTCACCTTGCCATTCCGAAGTACCCGTTGATTTATATTACGACAAATGCGTGTTTGATTCGTGTGCTTGCGACGAAGGCGGCGATTGCGAATGTTTATGCACAGCTTTAGCAGCGTACGCTGAAGAATGTAACAGCAAAGGCGTCCCCATAAAATGGAGATCACAAGAATTATGCCGTAAGATTTAATTAATTAAATAAATTCCTTTGATTTAATTTATCTTATTTTAGCAATTCAATGTAGTGAAAGATGCGCTCAGTACAGCCCTTGCGTATCATCTTGTCCTCTTGAAACATGTGATAACTTATTGATTCAAAATCCATTAACGAAATTGTGTAAAGAGGACTCTTGCGTCGAAGGATGTATTCCAAAGCCGTGCCCCCCTGATTATGTTTACGCTAATTCATCTTATAGTGAATGCGTTCCAAAGAATATTTGTAAACCGGTTTGTTTAGAAATTGATGGGGTCACTTATTATGAAGGGGATAAAATGGAGGAAGATGATTGTCATACATGTTTTTGTTCAAGAGGATCAAAAACGTGCAAAGGTGAACCCTGTACAACATTTACCCCGGTAAGACTAACGAAAAACATTTTTAAGATTATAGAAATTACATTTTTTTTTGCTAAATATAGAAACCCACAACGCCAAATCAACTGGATTCTAAACCATCGTGCAAAACAGGTTGGACAAGTTGGATTAACCAAGATAAATTAAAAAATACAATGAATGAGGATGTTGAGCCAGTTCCAAATAACATCATTATGGTTTGTTGCATAAAAAACTTTGTTAATAAAAAACGTGATTAATTATATATAAAAATTTACAGAATCAATTAAAAGATGGTAGTCATTGCGACCCAAGTCAAATCACAAATATCGATTGCAGAACAGTATCAGGCCATATGCATTATAAAAAAACTGGTTTAGATGTTGAATGTAGCTTAGATCGTGGGTTAATTTGCAAATCTGATACAGGAAGTTGTTTAGATTTTGAAATACGCGTGTTTTGTTCATGTGGTAAACTTTAATTTACTATAAAATTATTTTTAAATATTTAATAAAACATTGCAGAAGATCAACCTGTACCAACTGAACCAATACCAACATCAGAGCCAATATGTGATAAAGAGAATATGTTTTCTGAGCACCCAAGCGATTGTCATATGTACTATAAATGTTTTGCTGGTGAAACTGGTTTGGAGCAAATTATAGAATCATGTGGAGATACCTTGTTGTTTAACCCCATCTCAAAAACTTGTGATATTCCTGAAAATGTATATGATATAAAACCGCAATGCAAACCAACCGGTATGTTTTTAATAATATGAGTCTTCAGAAATGTTTTAACTAATATCATTATGTTTATGCAGAAGAAGTACAACTATGTGAACCGGGTTATGAATGGAGGAATTGTGCATTAAAATGTGATAAAATTTGTGATTACCACAAGTATGTTGTAAAACAAAGAGGGGAATGTTTAGATGATAATCTTTGCGTTGCTAAATGTATTCCAATAGGAGATCCAATTTGCGAAGGAGATTATTTCTGGAACAGCGATGGGTCATGTAGAAAACTAGCTGATTGCGCCTGCCGCGCAAAAGACGGAACTATGGTGAAAGTATGTTGTGGTGTTAATCATATTATATGTTGCTTTTATATTTTAATTTTTTATAGCCAGGAAATGTTTATCAAGAAGATCAATGTACAAATTGTCAATGCATAGATAACGCATACAGTTGTACAACATCCGACGATTATGAATGTAATCATGAAATAATTGAAGTACCTCCACTTGAAATAACTGAACAAACTGCAACGGTCATCATAAGTACAGTTACTCCACCTAAGGAATGTTTACCTGAATAGTAAATATTGAAATTCAAAAATTAACTCCATATCTAATTAATTTATTTATTGTAGCTTTATGAATCTTATTCAAGGGGATCATCCCCTCCCTGATGACTCAATAATAGCCAGTAGTTATTATAACGATAATTATTTACCCAAATATTCTAAAATTAATTATGGTACTTATTAAAAATTTTTTTATTTACATAATCTAAAAAATTTATAAATTTTAGCTGGAAGTTGGAAACCGAAAGAAAATGATAAAGAACCGTATCTCGAAATTTCTTTTGGTAGACAAGAACCAGTGTATGGTGTAATAATAAAAGGGAACGTTAAAGATGATGAATATGTCTCAAAGTATACAGTTGCTTATGTTCCCTCCGCCTTTGATAAGTTACAATTTGTCCGTGGAGAAGATGGTAGAATTAAAGAATTCCGAGGTTCGGTTGACGCAATAACACCATCCAAAGTACTATTTGATGTGCCATTCGAAGCAATCAATGTTCGAATTTATCCGAAAACATGGCATATTGCGCCATCATTAAGAGTTGAGTTAATAGGTTGTTCTGATGTCATCGGTACTACTCAAAGCTCTGTTACTACAACCGTTGTAAGTAAATATTTTGTATATAAATTTAAATTTTACTTATTTTAATTGTAGCAACAAGTTGATGTTTGTAATGATGAAATGGGTTTAAAGAATGGGTTATTATCGCTTGAACAAATTTCCGTTAGCTCTCAACAATCTGGTCAAAATTCAAAGGCTCAGTTGAAACTTGATAGTGAAGGAGCATGGCAACCATATACAAACACCCCCACAGAATTTGTGATTGTAATTTTTATTTTAATTTTATGATTATGTGGTGGACTAATTAATTTTTATTGATAGTTTGACTTTTTGGAACCGCGTAATGTAACCGGAGTAAAAACTAAAGGTGGGCCAAAAGGATGGGTTACCAAATACAAAATTAAATATTCCACTGATGGTAAACAATGGAACCCCATTGTTGATGAAGCGTTAAACGAAGTTATATTCCATGGAAATTTTGATCATAATTCCGAAGTTACTAGTCAGTTTCAAATGCCCATTCAAATGAGGTATTTAAAAATTGAGCCTGTAAAATGGGAAAATAACATTCAACTCAAAATTGAACCTCTTGGGTGTTATATACCATATCGTAAGATTCAACATAATAGATTCAATTTAAATTGTATTACAAATTCATGGTATTTTAGCTGAAATTGCTGTAACGATACCAACAGTTGAACAAACACTTTGCAATTATTGTCTTGGTGTGGCGGAGAGTACAAACAAATGTAATTGTGATCAAACGAAATATTGGGATGGAGAGAAATGTATTGATCGAGCTGAATGTCCTTGTGTTGTTAATCATATCACGTAAGATTTTTTTGTATTGATAATTATAAATTAATATGTTTTAATTCTTGTTTTTAATTAGATATAAAATTGGACAATCCTATCTTAAAGAAGATTGCAAAGAATGTATCTGTAAACTTGGCGGTGTTGAACATTGCGTTGAAAAAGAATGCGAAAAATGCAAAGACGTAAGTTGTGTTAATCATTAAAACAAAAAATTTGGTTTTAATTATTTTTTATAATTAGGGTATGCAAAGTAAAATATCAAATACATGCGCATGCATATGCGCGCCATGTCCGGAAGACGAAATTTTATGTCCAACAAGTAACGTTTGTATAAATAAAATGAAATGGTGTGATGGAGTTATGGACTGCCCTGACGATGAACTTAATTGTACTAAACCAACCGAACCAACGCCAACAACAACTGAAAAACCCAAGAAAGATTGTCCCATACCAGTTTGTTCACCTGGATATGTATTGAAAGAGAAAGCTGTTTCTAAGGGCCCTAAATACCTTGATTTCTTAGCTACTATCTTTAATAGAAAACCAACGAATCAACGTGTTAAAACAACTTATTCATATTCCAAAACAAAAACAAAGAGTAAACCAAATCCGCATTTTAAACCACCAACCAAGATTAACAATGTTGTGGAACAAGAGGAAGAAAAGTGTAAGGAATACGTTTGTGTTCCAGTTGTGGAAACACCTGTGTGTCCACCTGCTTCCTGCCCACCAGGATATACACCAGTTTATAATCCAGTTGGAACTGATATAGGATTTTGTGCAGGGTATGATTTATTACAATCACTTAAATTTGCCTTGCATCCTAACAGATATTGAAGGACCTGATGATTCATGCCCTACACCACGATTATTTCTATCTTCCATTTCTTCGGAATCCTTTCTTCCTTCCAACAGTTTATGGAGTCTTCTTACTGTTGCCATTCCACTAATTTTTAGGATACAGCAATAATGTTATCTTCTGCCGCCCTCTGTATTAACCTCATCCGCACTTCATTCATCTTTCACTGCACTCTTACACTTTTAATCGTATCATTTCACTATCACATTCCATTCTTCTTCAATCCTTTCCAAGTACGGTGTCTTTCTTAGTACAGCCTCCAGTAGTTGCTGGAAGGACTCTTTAGGACTTAAATTTATGTTTGTAGGTATAAATGTCATCTTCCAGACGCAATTTGTAACATTACTGGTAGAACATTCAACACATTCGATAACACGGAATTTAAATATGATATATGTAACCACGTTATTGCTAGAGACTTAGTAGGAACTAATTGGGACATTTCATGTAAGCCGAAAAATTTGATTTAACATAAATAATAAAACTACATTCATTTTAGTGAAAAAGAAATGTAATGATATCCGTTGTAACCTCAAGGTGCTCATCAATCACCATCTAGATTCATTCACGCTTTATTCTGATCTCAAGACAATAAAATATAACGATTACGATTATAATATCGACCAAATGGAAAGAATTAGTAAACAATCTCCGGAATTCTACATAGATCGTCTTGGTGAAATGATTCTCTTTTCTTCTATTAAATACGGATTTTGGGTAACGATTGATAAATTAAGTAACGTTAAAGTAGGCGTATCATCAGAATTGAAAACCCATGTTGATGGTCTTTGCGGATATTATAATGGAAAAGGTGACGATGACAAACGTAAACCAGATGGAACTTTGGCCAAAACCTCTGTTGAATTTGGTGACAGTTGGTCTTATGGAGATACCGCAGATTGTGTTGTTAAAAAATGTCCAGAGGAAATTGAAAAGAAAGCTATTGATATCTGTAATAGAGTGAGGTAAATATATTAATGTTTTTTTAGATATATTATTTTAATAAAACTTCTTTAAAGGGATCAAACTTTAGCTCCGTGTGCTAGTGCTATAAATATAGAAGCTTTCTTATCACGATGCTTAGAATCAACTTGTACTTGTCTTCAAGAAAACAAAGGAAATGCAACTGGGGAAGATAACTGTCGTTGCTCAACATTACAAGCGTTTGTAGTTGATTGTATGCAAGCCGATACAAATGTTGAAGTTGGAAATTGGAGAGCACAACACAATTGCCGTAAGTTAATTTATCGCAAATTAATTCAGATTAAATTAAGATGAAATTTTTTGCAGCTATCGCTTGTGACGCACCTCTTGTACCACATGATTGCTATAGAAGACCATGCGAACTAACATGCCAAACAGTTTCTGATCCAAACGCATGTCCCAAATTGGACACGGTTTGTTTCCCTGGATGTTATTGTCCACCGGGTTTAGTTCGACAAGGTGATACTTGCATTCAACCGCCAGCATGCAGAGATTGCGAATGCAACTTATTACCGCATCTACAATATGTAACCTACGATGAGTCCAATTTTACCGTGAATGGAAACTGTGTATACGTTATGTCGAGGGATGTTTTGGAAAGTTTAAATCAAGAGCACAAATTCCAAGTTTTCGTTACAAACCATCCATGTGAAAATAAACCTAACAAAATGTGTATAGGAAAAATTACCATTTTGTTTGCTGGTCATAAAATTCATATATATCGAGATGAAATTAGAAATAGATTGAAGATGATTGTCGATTCAGAAAGGGTATATGACTATGCAGAAGTATCTGATTGGATGGATGTAAAAGAAACAATGGCTAAGCACATCAAAGTTGTTCTTAAAGCGGTTCAAATTCAAGTAAGTTGATTTTTATGTATTAATTTTGTTTAGTACAAATATTTTTTAGGTTAGTGTTTATTATCCATCACTTGGAGTATCCGTTAAAGCTCCATCTCAACTATATGCAGGAAAAATGGAAGGTTTATGCGGAGATTGTAACCGCGATAAATCTAATGATATGAAATTACCAAATGGTCAAATAACAACAGATGAAGAAGATTTTGGTGCAAGTTGGTTATACGACAAAATTCCTGGACAATCCAAGGAAACTTGTGCACCTAAGAAAGAACCGCCGTGCCAATCAATACTGTCAGATGTTAATCCTTGTGACCAACTTTTAGACGTCGATAAATTTGGATTGGCAAGTTTACCTTTTCTAATAGTGATGATTTTTTATTATATTTTTTATTTCGTGTAGTGCCATCCATTATTAGACCCAGGAATGTTCTATGAATGGTGCAACAAAGATATTTGTACCGGAGAATTAGATCAAGCTTGTACATCTATTGAGACATACGCAAAAGAATGTATGAGTACGAATATATGCATTAATTGGCGCACCAATTTGTGCCCAATTAAATCTTGTCCCGCTGGTCAAGAATATGAACCATGTGGTACTAGTTGCCCAAAAACTTGCGAATCTCTTCAAGGGGGTCAAACGAATTGTCATGAAATACCAGTAGAAGGTTGTTTCTGCCAAGAAGGACAGGTACTGAAAAATAACACCTGCGTTGATGAACGAGAATGCACCGTTTGCGATGATGAAGGTCATCATCCTGGTGATACTTGGCAGAAAGATGCATGTACTTCATGTACTTGTGTTGGCACAAACGTGAATTGTGAAACCAAACATTGTCCTAAAGTGGAGACGTTATGCGAAGATGGTTATACTGTTATAGAAGTTCTTTCCGATAAGGAGGAATGTTGTGAAAAATACGTTTGTAGTAAGAATACTATACTTTGATACTTTTTTTGGGTATTTACTGCTTTTATTATTATTAATATTATTTTCTTAGTTCCAGTAGTAGAAGCTGGTCCAACATGCGAACCACCCCAACAATTAGAATGTAATGAAGATCAAGAAATGAAGCTTGTAAAGAAATCCGATGGTTGTCAGAAATTTGTATGTGAATGTAAACCAATTGAAGATTGCATTCCCATTGACCAACAGATGAACAAAACTGTTGAAGAAGGTTTTGAAAAAGTGATTAACAAAGCTGGTTGTTGCCCAAAGGTTACATACGTTTGCAAGAAAGAACTATGTACAGTACCTGAACAATGTCCAACATTTTATAACATGAAAAAATTAGAGATACTAGAAAAGTGTTGTCCAATTTACAGTTGTGACGCACCAAAGAAATGTATCATTGATTTGATTTATACCAGCTCGGAATTAGGTGGCGAGAAATTACGCAATGAACATGATAAACAAAAGCTGGTCAAGGAAGTTGGTGAAAAATGGCAGGATGGACCCTGTAGAGAATGTGAATGTTTAGGCTCACCAGAACAAGGTTATCACAGTAATTGTTTACAAAAAAATTGTCCTCTAACTCAAGAGTCCGAAGACAACAGCGAATACGTTTTGGAGTATGATCCAATTCCCCATGTATGTTGTGCATCGATTAAACGAGTCGCTTGTAAATACGATGGCACCGAATACAAAGTTGGAGAAAAATGGCCAGTTAAGGATGATTACTGCGCATTTATGCAATGTGTAAATACCACAACCGGTGTACAAAGAACAACAGAAAGAACTTCATGTGAAACTAAATGTGAATTGGGTTACGAATATGTGCCACCAAATCCTGAAAATCAAATGTGTTGCGGATTTTGCAAACCATACGCTTGCGTGGTTGATGGAACCATAAAAGCAGTTGGAGAGAAATGGTTATCTAGCGATTATTGTACCGAATTCATTTGTGTGAATGATAATGGAGTGGTGAGTACACTTTAAAATATAATTATAAAATATTTTTGAAATTCCTTACTTTATAGATGAGAATAGACGGAAAAGTTGAAACTTGCAAAGATATCCCACAAGATCAATTGGATGAGTATGTTTATGAGTCTCATAAAGTCGATTTTGAGTGTTGCAAAAAACATAAACCCACAGCATGCAAAGTTGGGGAAACTATTTACAAGGTAATATTATTAATTGTATTATTTTAAGTTATTTTATTATTCATTGTTTTAGATTGGAGATTCATGGCCATCACCTGATCTAGATAAATGTAAGACAATTTCTTGTGTAGAAACGCCATCGGGTGATTTACTCAAACAAGAAACGATTCAATCTTGTCACAAAGAGTGCTCTAAGGGATGGGAATATATAGAATCTAATAATGCTTGTTGTGGCGATTGTGTATCCGCATTCTGTGTTTTGGAAGATGAGTTACGCAGACCAAATGAAACATGGACATCAGAAGATAAATGTACGAAATTCACCTGTGAGAAACAAGGTGAACAAATGGCTATTGTGAGTCTACAGGAGTTATGTCCAGATGTTAGCGATTGTCCCATAGAGAATATTTATCTGGAGGGTTGTTGCAGCCGTTGTAACTTTAATACAACAGGCGTATCTCAAGGTAAAATATATAGTTTACTTTTTAATCAAACGAATAATCAATTTGATTGTAGTGAATTGTGCACCTGTTGAAATTCCACCTCACAAGACGGTAGAATTATTCAAAATAACCAAACCAGACGGGGTTGTTTGTAAAAATGTTGCCGCGATCGGTAATTTAAAAGAATGCCAAGGCAGTTGCGAATCATACACAGCTCTTAATATCCGTATGTATTTCCTCACTTCATCTCAAACCATTTCTAATATAATTATTTGTTCTAGATTCTTTATCATTTGAATCGCAATGTTCTTGTTGTCGCGCAGTCGATTTTCAAATGATTATTATTGAATTGTTGTGTGACGATGATACCGTTATTAATAAGGAGATTGATGTTCCAAATTCGTGCAGTTGCGAAGGTTGTGTTGCTCAAAAAATGAGTAAATTATTGAATCCGACGAAAAGTTTTACGAAGACGAAATATGATAGATATTAAGATTTAAATTTGTTTTACTTATTATTTTTTATTGACGTTTATGTTCAGTGCAATTTGACTTTTTTTAATAAATAAGAATTAATGAATCTATATATTTATTCATTTATAAAGAAAATACCTTCACAATTTATGCCATAAATAAATATTTAAAATATGACTAATAAAATTAGTTAATTTAAATAAATTAAAAGTTATGTTTACCAAATATACATTAATTTTGTAACACATTATATATATGTAGAGAGCGTATTCCATGCGCAGCGGTTAGGCCCCAATGCAGATGTTCATATTCCTAAGAGAGTTGAGGATCTAACCGAGTTAACCCTTGATACATCTGATACCATTTGATAACATTGTTCGCAGTGGCCAAAGGTGCGGTTGCGGGTATTCCCATGAAGTTTATGTTCTAAGAGCGTGACCTTAACTTGGTTTCAAAACTCTTTTTGTACGGCTATAATTAGAGGTGAATCCTATATTAGTCCTTTTTATTATAAATGTAAAGCTTAATATCTCAAATGTGTTCGTATGTTACTTAAAGTATTCTAAAACGCCATTATAAGGGCAATGGTAATAGGTTGATAGTAACAAAGGGGCTCAACAGAAGCGCTAGTTGCTTGTAACGTATTGAAGATGGCCACGTGAGTACACACCGCAACGTTATGCCTTAATCTCTACATTGTAATGAGAGAATTTGTGGTTCACCGCTCCAAAGTTACGACAAACCTTAGTGGATTTAATTAGTAAAGTTAACAGGTTTACGACGTTGGGCAACGAACAAACGTTCCCTGTCTGCCCATTCGGTTCGACCACGTTCTGCTAGTATGATCAGATACTATAAGCGACCAAATATGTATAAGGATTACACGATAACCGCCGAGCGGCGTCTCCAACTATTAGATATTCCCAGGTCGCCCGGAAAGAGATTTCTGGTGAAATTTCGCCTCTACGAAGCTGTAACTTTGCTGCTCACCCAACGTCACGGTGGTATGTCACCAGAATAATAATAAGAGCTTTCGTTGAAGTAAAGTTCACGGCGTTCTTTCTTATTTCAATGTTACATCATTTTCAGATTATATTTTTTTATTTTTTTCCTTATTCAATAAAACAGATCTATAAATAATAAATTTTTGTACGGGTTCGGTTCAATACGTACCTTCTGACCGCAAATTTGGGTGATATATGATCACCGGTGATAAATTATTTTTTCGATCAAACCGGCAAAAGAAAGGACGTAGATCCTGGTGTAGAAATGCGAATACGCAAAAAGCCCCCCCAATAGCAGCTCCTAGACACATTAATATCTGCCAGAAACAGCGAGGGAACTTGCCTATACGATCTATTTATAGGGATGCCGAGAACGGATTGCTTCTTTGAGTTTAAGATTGAGAGACGCAAGAGTCTCCACTTGTGTGACAAATAAATTGAAAAGTAGTTAATCATTCCTCACAAAAAAAAAGTAACGATAAAATGAGCGGTTTCGACCGAAAGTGACAAAGGGAAGAGAGCCAATAAAAGCGATCACAAAGTGCATCCAGGAAATATAATTGGTCGTGTGCAAGGTGGACCATAAAATCCTTACGTTGGCGAATTTGGACACTTCGAGAGCTTGCCAAATGGTTATCGAAATCGCTGAGTAAACCGAACGAATTGTACTCGAATAAAAATACCAATCTAGCGTGAAAGCGGTCGATTTTAAATTATTTATGTTGTAATTTATCTCTTAAAAATTTATTTAAAACGTTTGTAATTTGAATACATTGTCATAAAAATGGAAATTGGGTCACCCATGGGTTTGATCCCAGAGCTTAGTCGGGAAAGAGTTGGGTTGAAATCACCTCATCGGTATGCGAAATTGTGGCTCAGATGAAATCCTAAAAAAGACGAAGTTTTGTTACCCACCTCAAGTTGTTGAAGAAAATCCATTAAGGAAACAAGGCACGGTCGAAGTGAAGTCTGAACTTGACTAAAGCAACTTAAATATCGAAAACTATAACTTTAGTAACAAAGTTTTCGAACAGGGTAATTGATACCTTCAGTTTTAGAACTATATATAATAGCCCATTTCCTTCTAGTTTAGAATTTTTAAATTACAAAAATTTATACTAATATAATCAAACATAATTAATGGTCAAGAGAATTAAATTCGTCTCAGTGTTCGATAGAACATGTTAAAATCGGACGCGTTTACATTGTATTGTCAACGACAGTTCACTGTTATGAATGTGTCTATTCACGCATGTAATATATTACAGCGATTATAATGGAATTTCTCCATAAATGGTGTAATCAATCTTTCCTAGATATCATTCGTTGTTTGTTCCCGGCAGTATCTCATATTAATCAACATGAGACACAATGTATTTTTGATGTTTAAAGGTGAAAATCCTATCCGCTTTTTAAAATAGGAAAATATTTTTAATACTTTATTAAAACGTACAATAAATGTTCATTTAGTGATACAACAAATAGTTCAGAGCGATTTTATATATTTATTTATTTTCATTGAAAAAACTATTGAACCGTAAACTACACTCCTTTATGAATATTTCAAAAAAATTACAATAGAGGACACACAAAAAATGGGACAGAATCATCCGAATATTCATTTTATATTTTTTATCTGAACGTTTTATAATTGATTGATTTTAATTTAACAGCGATATTGTTTGATACTCACCCTTTGTATTCTGTATCAATTTATTTGTATTTCTTCGTTCTATAAAATAAATACAATAAATAAAATTATCTACATCTATTAATTTTAAGGGGTTTTGAATTACAGTTAGGAAGCAGAACATGCATTTATGGGTTAATTGCAAAGTGCACTTAGGTTTGGTATTAATATTTAATTATTATTCAGATCCAACACAGTTTTTCGTTGGATAATCCAATTATATACTCTTATTGTATTTAGAAATTGGAAAAGTTGTTTTGAACCTAAGTATGATTAGCCTCTTTAACTGATTATGTCAGCAAATATCTAGGCGTCATCTCCAAATCGTCGGCCTTAATCTCATCTTTTGCATCCATTGCTGTATGATATGATACAACCATATTTGTCGTAAATATTTTATCGTTTCTTTGTTGTTTATTAGCTGGTTACTTATAATTTGATTAAAGTAGCTACTTGTTTAAAATGTATCGTTCTTATTTTTGCTTATAACATTGCTATCTCAGATGACTGGCAAAACCAGATGTTGCACTAGGAACAACTTTCTATGAAAGTAAACATAAAGACTCAAAACGTATTATTAAGTACATTATTAGTATAAAGTTGTTATTATCGATTAAGATTAGTCTTATAAGTAGCTCATGTTAATTCTAAAATTCAAACCAATTCCAAAATTGTACGTTTTAAATTAATCGAAGTACTTTGTAACTATTTGCGTTTTCTTATTTACGACTACACCTTTCCAATCCCGTTTTAATTTAAATAGAAAGCTTGAAGTACTAGTAGTGAATAAAACAGACTTGGTAACACACTAAAATGAACAAACTTCGAATACTTGCAATGAGTAGGTTCTTGTAATGACCTATTTTAACTAGACTAATCAAGTTAAAATATTTGTACCTTGTTAATACGTTCTCGTCGTATTATAAACTTCAGAAGATCAGTTTCGGACTTTGTTTCGTAGTTTGGTCGATCCATTAAAATCCTTTCGGCGGTGATATGGGATTAATCTGGGTTACTCAATTTACTAACCCACATCTCAAGTGTCAGGTCGATGTTGAAGTGGCTACTAAAATAGACCTGAACCCTTCCTGTGACTTCCAGCGCAGCCGTCAGCAGGATGTGAAAGGATGGACCCTCGATTTTAAACAATGGCCCTGTAAAGTAGCGCAAAAAACGACCATTTATCTAAATCGACTTTAACTGTACAAACCAAGATCGATTCGTTGTGTATGTGTAAAATTTATTAATTGTTTTGTTGTTAAGATGAAGAAATTTTAATTTAAAAAGGATCATTATTTTCTCGTTTCTAACTTTCGTTTTTTTGGATACATCACATTTCCATATTCTTGCAAAGCATCGTCGGGATAACCCTTCCCAATCGATTTTTCTTTACTTGTATTTGGTGCTCGGTTGAATTCAATTGAACCCTCCCGAAAAAGAAGGGAGGTAGGTGGGTTTCCTTCGTAGCAGGGAGGTGCATTTACCACTCCGACGTCGGATATAATTCGAATCAATCACACCGAGGGGAGAAGTCTGGAGCAATCACCACGCCTCGCTTCGTCGGATTTCGTTACCGAGGATCAGCTCGATGTTCCCAAGATTTTCACTACAGATACGTATTCACCGGATAGATCATTTACCCTTTTGCAACGGAACAAGCTGTGTACGAGATGGTAAGTTCATTTCGGCGCGAATCAAAGCGATCCTTTATCGCGAAAGAATTCATAGAAATTTTTAAAGCGTTAAAATTACTCCTTTGTTCCTCAAAATTAAAATTTGTGTACGATGCTGATAAGGTATTAATTTATTTTTTCGTTTTCGTAATTTAAGGCGCAAATCTAATACCAGGAAGGGGCCGAATAAATTGAAATGTATTTGCGTTGCTCTCCTGAGTCAAATTCAATTCTATTCCTGAGGAAAGAGCTTCGTCCAGCAACCGGACCATTTTGCGCACTCAAAGTCCACTTCAATGCGTATTCATTATAATATAATTTATGTTATCTGCGTTTATTGCTAAAGTTAAATATATAATGGAGTCTAAAATTGGTTCTATTTTGTTGTTTTCAAATTGAAGTATAAAACAAAAATTAGAGGATAATTAACATCTTTGATAAATTAGCTTAGTACCTAATTAAAACTACTAAGATCATGCTTGATTAAGGTAAAGGAACAAGGCATATCCTGGATTTGAGCGAAACGAGATTCCTCGTAATTTCGTATTCCCGGAGAAACGAGCTCGACGTTCTAGATTCGTACCGACCCTAAACTGCAAGATCGTTATAAGACGGCATTACAGGTATTAGGCATTGTATAATAGCATTTGCTCGGTGCAACTCGTACGAATTGGAGGAATCTTCCTGCTTCTTTTCGCCTCAACTGCGCCGCTTATTTGACG